AGTTCACTATTTTATGTTACAGGACATGACACCAGCAAGACGCCGAATACGTTTGATTTTTGGTATGTTAATTTACTTGATTTTGCCTGCCAGCTTCTTCGCACATTTCTAACACACTGAACCCGGCTGCTGCAGCTAACAGCATCCGCGTCGACTAGCGTAACAGGTCGAACATCTAGCCATTTCCTAATAATGTGCACCGTCTCATTAGTCCGCGCGGCTCTGAATGCGAATGGTGGAGGGAGTGGCTCTAGATCATAATCACTGACCTACTAACCAGCCCCCCCCCCTAACCTTCGAAAACGCATGCCCTCAGTTGGTACAAGCGCCAAGCATAGCACTAACATCCGAGAAGGCCAAACACTCATCCGCAGTAATGACTTTCGGTAACAGAACTCGTGCACGCAGGCCTTGTAACCAACAAACACTCGCTACTAACTATGGGGTAACGACACGCCACCTCTCTAACCCAGATCATATCGTCTGCGCCCGTCAGCTTACCCAATAAACGCGGCACTGCGCCGCCGCCGTGGCGCCGTGGGAGTAGATTGCTCGTCTCTCATCAGCCCTGATAGTGCTGTATACCGCCGCGTCAAGTCGCGTTGGCGTGACGAATTCTCCTCAGCGAGTCGCGCTGCCCGGTCGCCCCTTATCTGAAGAGCCCTAGCAGAGCGCTCGTCTACGGGCCGGTCGAAGCGTGCGCCAGGAAATGAACTGGTTGAGCGGGCCGAGACGATGCCGGTTTGACGAGCGTGATTTACAGACGGAGTGTCAGTGTAAAGTGTTGTTGTTTCCGTATGGTGAGATGAAGGTCGCAGCGGATTGCTGAACATACACTCAGAAGTAGAACTGGGTTGAATGTTGAGAAGCTTTGATAAGCAGCAAATCACAAAAAGCAAAGTGCTTATGTGAACAACGCTTCGCTACTCTGCTAGGTCCTCTCGGCTGGGTTTCATTCGTGGTTCGGCAACTTTCCATTTGATATTCTACGTTTTAGCGATACTAATGAGAAGCTTTTGTTGGTTTTGTCTTTTGCTTGATCTTCAACAGTCGCTGGCATCAGTTTTATTGATGCTATCTTCCAGATCCACACATAAACACTTTCTGACTTACATCGCGTCGCCGAGCTACCATCCTGCAACATTCTTTATCCTCTCACTTCCTACTAACCGCCCTTACCTCCCATTCCTCCGTAACGTCTCCCCCACCCTCCTCACAGACTCATCTCGCTCGATCTGGACCAGCCGGACGATGACGCCGAGACTGACGCGTCATCAGCGGCGGCGGCGGCGGCGGCGGATGACGACATGCTGCTGGACCTGGGTGGTGAGGAGACCGGCCGGGGCTCAGAGGAGTCGGGTGGACAGCGGCAGTCGCACCGACCGCTCCGACACGCCGGTGAGAACGGGGGTGAGAATGGATGCTGGTTTATACCTTGTACTTGACTATTTTGGGCCTGAAATGTGGTTCGTGCTATCAGATTTGGCCGAATCAAAGACCAGATATATGAACTTTCATCAATCTACCTCTAACGTGTTCAGACGATCGCAAAGACACCTTAAGGCGGAAGGGGGAGGAGCTGGCACCCTCAGCCGGGAAGGACGGAGGTTTGTCCTCCACGGTTCCCCATCCATGCACCGCCTGACCAACCCTTCCCGTCCCGCCCCCTCCACTAACCTCCGCCTGTGTGTGTCAGGCGGCGGCGGCGCTGCCGACCTGCTCACCCACCACCCGGAGATCCCCGACCTGGAGAAGGAGGACCAGGAGCTGCTCGAGGAGATCCTGGCGGCCCCGTCGGCCGCCGCCGCCGCCGCCCAGCCGGGCCTGTGGCACACTGAGGGAGCACAGGAACCGGCACAGAGCGGCGGGCACGAACTGCAGGTGAGGGCAGAGAGGCGGTTTGGAGGGGAGAGGGGGGGGGGCGGGGTGGATATCGCTGGTTGGTAGCTGAAGGGCTTGTGTGATCGGGGAACCGGCAGGCTGGATCGTCTGGCACAAATCAAGTCGATTGCTGAACTGAATAACGCAGTAAACGACATCATTGGGCGCTTTCTAGCTGTTTGAGGTGCTGTGTTCATTGCATCTGCTCTTTTTAACGTTATTGTACGTCTCTATACTGTATCACAGCCCCACTGGTACTCCCTGTCGGTGACGGGACCGCGGTATCCGTCTATGGACCGTACCTTCCTCCTTTATCCGCTGGTCCCGCCGGTGACCTCTCCCCGTGCACCCTTTCAGGACGTGTTCGGTGGTCTGTCCCTGGGCGGAGGCGCCCAGTACCAGTCCTCGGCGTTCATGCCCTCTCAGCTGTTTGGCTCAGGTGAGGGAAAACTCTAGAAACTGTGAGACAGTAAACTAAGGCAGAGGTTTATTCAGAGATGTCTTGGCTTTGTATGTTTTTCGTTCTGGGTGTGTTTGTGAAAAGGTAAACTTTTAGCAGGTCTGATTCGTAGTAGTTTCAACACCAAAATCTTGTTTCGAAGTTTCCATAATCGCATTCTGAACTTGGCCTGACGTTGATTGTTGTGCCCCTGTCGGCTGTTCCAGGAGGTCGAAGTGCGGCCGGCGTCGCACAGATGGCAGCACCAGCAGGAGCCGCCGCTGCGGCCCCCGTTGCTTCCCAAGGACCCGTACCCCAGCCGAAATCTGCGGCGGATAAACAAAAGGTAAGCTAACGTTTGGGTCTGTCGAATTGCGTGCTAATATTTGTTTTGCAAAACAGCGTACTTTCAGCGGGACTGTTAAGGTGTTGTGGTTCCTCCACTCATTAACCGCAGTACCGTTGAGTCCTGATACCCAGGAAGTGGGATGACTAATCAGCTGATTTCTGATCAACTCGTGCCCAGCTGATGAACTCATGGACTCCCATTGTCCTCCACATCGGGTTTCACCCTCCCACCCACACCCTACACACATTCACGCACACACAAGCGTTACCATGACGCTCCTGGTAGTCCCTCGACATCACCCCACCCGTCCGTCCCCTCAGGACATGTCGGCGTGGTACAGCCTGTTCGCCGACCTGGACCCGCTGGCCAACCCGGACGCTGTCGGAAAGAAAAAGGGAGAGGAGGACCGCAACTGCTAGCCACAGCGGCGTGCAGACACCCGCACACACGCACACGAACACACCGCCCGGCCCGCCGGGTCGGCCGGCGCGGCACTGGGTTGCTGACAACCTGGTGAGGGTTGGAGATGGCTGGCGTGTCTCGAGGTTCGCCGGGGCATATCCGAGGAGGCTAGTATGACGATGTTCGAGCTTGACGTTCACCGATGAACAGTGACCATCGAAAAACCGCCCAGGGACTCAGAAAGGCGTCTTGGCAGTTACGAAATCAGATTCATGGACAAACCAGAGGCCGCTTCTACCGTTCTGAGACTCAGCAAGAGTCCACTCGGGTGGAATAAGGCCATTGTCATAGGCTGGTCGGGTCGAACCGAGACCCAGGGGGCTGCCCGCACTGGTCCGCGGCAGTGACAGTGCTGCGAACTGGCGGCAAGGAGTTGCGAGAGGCAGCGTGGTGTGCAATTGTGCCCTGGAGGTAACGTGTGATGCGAGAAACAGTTATCTGCGCACTATATATCAGTCGACGGGCTGGTGTCCCGGCCGCGCGCTGGACATGGCCGCTGTATCGCTAACTTGGTCCCTCCTTCCCTTCTCCGTGTTGTTGGCTGCTTTGTTTGTTCCGTACGCCAGTGCAGACTAAATCTGGTGCTGTCTCAGTCGCTGCGCGGAACTGTATCTCGACTGGTGTGAGTTTGCGTGGAGGGGTACATTTATACCGTGTGTTGGGCTATCAGGTACGGTGCGTCCGCGACTCGAAATCGTCTGTATATCTCGTTTGTGGACGGGTGATGACCCTCTCTGCCCCCCTGCGGTGCTCGGAGGTGGCGTAAGTCGTATCCCCGGCGCCTGTCGCTCCTCCTGCCCCGTTTGTACGTGGAGCGGGCTCAGAGCAGTCTCTGAACAGAGGCCTTCGCGCATCTAGTCTATATTTTGGATAGTTTGCTCCTGTTTTGTTTGAATCCTATCATGCTTTAATTATCTGGCTGTTGTGATATATTATCGCCGAAATCGACTTCGGCATAGGTAATACAGATGTGGTATTCGAATGAAGATGTGTTATGCGGGCGAGAGAAGTGGCGCAGTGCGAACGTAGCTAATTCTGGCAGAGGTTTGAAGTGAACCTTCGCTTCCCCGGGTACAAAGCCTCAGTTCAAATCTTACCCTAGCTCCCTTCCTCCCTAGGTTCACAACTTTCCAGGTCCGAAACTTTTCATTGACCTTATTGTCACAGTGAGCTAAAAGAGTTCACATCCTCCCAACATGGCGTGCTACGGAACCCCGGACGGTAATCGGAGCTATTTGTTTGGTGTATTGGGCTGGATGTCCATCTCTGGTGCACCCAATCCAACCCAGCCTAATGAAACTCAACATAGCCTATCCAAACCCGAACCCGATTGCGAACACCGTAACACTTGATAGACATTCGGTGCTTATGGCCTGATGTACAGCCCTGCCCTCTGCAAACTGCGTGGTAGGTATTCTTTTTTCGACAAAACCGAGAATAACGCGAATACTATGCTATCGGGCACACGGAAATCGTAACAGCAAGATGCGCGAGACTCCGCAGCTTAGATTGGCATTATCATCGTATGCATTTTCCATCCAGTTTGGCAACAAAACCCAAAAGTTTATATTTGCCCCCAAAACGAACTTTTACATTTTGTTGCCACACAAGGCGTATGCTTTGTTTATTGATAGGCCCTATCGAAGGAGTGGAGCATGGCGCATCTATTTGCAGTGAGTTTCGACCGACTGATAACATGACTTTTGAATTATTATCAGTTTTGTCGGAAAAAGAATACCTACCACGCAGTCTGCTGAGGGCTGTACATACATGGCCTGATTACCATAGTTATATAACATTGTGATGACATGGCAGCTCTTCCATCGCAGCACCATTCAACTGGCAGTCTTTTCACGTCCACACATCTGGTTAGAACTAATATTTATTATTCGCAGAGTAATACATTGGTGATCTGTCTCCCAGATTCGATGCGGGCAACGCGCCCGTCCCACTAAGCAAATCATATACAATGGTATCCGTCCTGCGTCCGCCATCGATATCGGCGCACCAGGGACATAGGACGCGCGTCACACACTTCACGCCAGGTACAGTCGACTGGAATGTGGGCGTGTGCGGGGGCGGGGGGCGGGGCGGCGGCTGAGGTAGGCGGCGCGCGGGCGGCGTCGGCCGTGGGCCGGCGTGGTCTCCCCGCCGCGCCGGCCGGGGGTCGGCCGGGGCCGCCCGCAGCCCGCCGGGACGCGCCCCGCCAGCCGCCGACTGTCGCGCGGCGCGCGCGGCGGCGTATCACAGCGAAACTTTGGAGTCGGGGTGGGCGCCGCCGGCCGGCGCCGGACCGGGACCGGCCGGCCGGCCGGCGTCACTCAACACTAGCTAAATTAGGTGCTCCGTATCTCATACATCCCTGCAAACACACAGAGGGGATAGACCGGTCAGCCACGCTGGGATTTGTGCTAAACTACGAATGGTCAAGGACGGTTCGCAGTTCCTGTTACACCTATTGCACAAACGTCCGGCTAACCTAACACCCATCCTTGGACCCATCCATGGATCCATGGATGCATCCATGGATACATCCTTCCATGTCTCCCGCGGTACTAGCTTCTTCGGTCATAACACCAAACTTTCATCAACGTTCATCTTCCCACCATCCTCGTGACCCCACATATCCTCCAAAGCACCACAAGTCCAACCACCTCAACACCCCTCCCTGTACAGTCTGTCTTAAAAGTACCGCGCAAAGTGACGGTGGATCCATCAAGCCTGACCGATGAAGGACTGCCAAATTTGAGTCACCGAAGCAATGGACATCCTCGTCCATTCCCCAGCTCCATTGGTTCGGTGACTTTCAAATTACAGCAGGCCCTTCCTCGGTCAGGCTTGATGGATCCACCGTCACTTTGCGCGGTACTTTTAAGACAGACTGTACCCCACTATCCCTCCCGGTCCACTCACGAGGCGCGTATAGTGCTGTCGCTGAGCAGAAATTCGAACTGGTTCCACTGCGGCGGCGTGGCGGCCGGGCTCGCCGCCGGCGACGGCTGCTCGTCGGCCCCGTCGTCGTCTCCGTCGTCGGCCGTCTCCAGCGCCGTCTGGCCGGCCGGCGAGCCGTCGTTGACGGTGATTTGTACACGGGACAGTACGCCGTCGGGCGCCTCCGATATGTCGATTTTCACTCCGCTCTGTGGAGGAGAGAGGGAGCAGGTTATTATTGTGGGTTGCGCTGCATATTGAACATATAGCATCCTTTCATGCAGCAGTGTGCTGTCCTGTGCGCCAACAAACCAAAACCAGCGTGACATCCATATGATAGCGTAAATCGAACCACGAAGTTATTCAGCAGGGCAACATTCATTCATACTCATACAATCATTCGTTTCTGTCACGGCGAACTGCCGTGAGACCCGCGCCACTCACATCAGTGTTTTGTACGCTGGATGAGACGCACGAGACGCCCGCGCAGCTCAGCTCGTCCGTCGAGATGTATGTGGTGGAGATGTGCGGGCTCAGCTTCAGACGCTGCGCCAGGTTTGTCGCCTCCACCAGCGTCTGCGCCGGGTCCGTCTCTGCAGGAAGATAGAGTGAACGGTCAGGGTTAAAGGCTAAGGGTATAGGGCCAGGGGAGCCACCAGGGATGGTCAGAGCTCATGGGCAGAGGGAGCTCATGGGCAGATAGCCGCCCGGAGACACCAGAGGTCAGAGGATAAGCTGGTTGGAAGGTCGTGGACAATGTATGGAACACCGAAAGATTACATCGCTAGAAGATTTCTCAAGATGTTTGCTCTGCTAATAGGATCTTAAACAAGTTTACCCACGATGTTGGATCATGTTTACAGACACAATGGGCCCTTCCAACGTCCTAACACTCGCGTCTCATATCACCAAAGCAAAGTTCACGACAACACACTGAGCGAGAGCACCGTCACTTGTCACAAACGACGTCAGCGCGAGCAATACCATCAGCGATGCTTGCCCGGCCACCCACGCTGGCTTAGTTCACCCCGGCGGCGCTTGGCGACGCCACTGTCGCCAGACACTAACCTGCTGCGAGCACCTCGTCCAGGTTATCGCTGAACAGGCCCTCCTCGAACTCTGAGCCGATGCTCAGGTGGAGGCTGTTGACGCTGCTTACGCCACTGCTACTGTGCACGCTGTCAGAGCTGCAGAAAACACGGTGAGCTGTTAGACGGAGACGGGGAGTGCAGGGTCGCGACAGGCACAATCGTAATGTGTTTAATGCCTAAGTTCTTACTAAACGCTGCCCTAGCAGGTCTTTCCCACTCTCAGCTACTACCTGAGAAAACCGCTAACCAGTGCCGATCCCGCAGTTTTTCCTTGCCCTTCATCCCTTCCTATATCCCATCTATCACCTGTGGCACCCATTGCAACCCCCGCTTCCAGTTCCTTCCCTCACCCTCCCTAAGTCCCTTATCACTCACTTGAGGCAGCCCGTGCTGCCGTGGTCTGTCTCCCCTCCCTTTCCTCTCCCTTCCCCTGTCCTTCGTCTCACCTGAGGCAGCCCGTGCCGCCGTGGTCTGTTCCCTCTCCCTTCCCTCACCCTCCCTCTGTCGTTGACTCGTTTGTCTCACCTGAGACAGCCCGTGCCGCCGTGTCCCCCGCGGCCGCGCAGCGCCTGTGTCTGTCGGGCCATCTGGGGCGGCGGCGCCGGCTGCTGGCCGCAGTTCCACGACAGCCGCTTCTGGATGCTGGCATCACGGCTCTCCTGCTTCTGGGGAGCGAAACGGCGCGGAGCGGAGCGTTAATAAGGGATCGGGTGACACCAACAGGACCTGACAGTGCGCCGCTCCGAACCCCAGCTCGACTCGATACAGCCAGCCGGACGCAGGGTCATTTAGCGGTCTACCGGACGGCGAACCGGTGATAGAGCTCCGACACACGAGCGCGGAGAACACGCGGCGTTCCGAGAACCCAGTAATGACTTGGATCGGTCGTGTTCGGTTCTGGCCGACCAGCCATTAGCGAACTGTGAGCACTGTACCGAGGGCTGACCAAAAATACCGCCGCATTGACAGCGAATGGTCAACGGTAAATGATTCGCTAAAAATAGCCACCCCACTCAATGGCGTGAGGGGTAAATAAACATATCTACTTACGACTCGGCTCTCCCCCCCTCTCTCTCTCTCTCTCTCTCTCTCTCTCTCTCTCTCTCTCTCTCTCTCTCTCTCCCTCCCTACACGCACGGCGGCGCCGGTTACCTTCATGTCCTCGATGGCACCGGCCGTGTGGTACCGTCGGTTCTCCAGCCGGTCCCTCGAGTGACGGCGGCTCCGACTCTCGGCGTCGGCCGGCTCCGGCTCGTCAGAGTCGCCCGACGGACAGCCTGCGGCGGGTCAGATCAGGTCAGGATAGGTGGCGAGATGCATAGATGGACCCATGCAGACGGGTGCCATGATAGTGCACATCGTCAGGTAACGATACCATTTATTGAAGCAGATTATTTGTCGTTAGGTGAGAATGTGTCCGAAGAGCCGAGACAAACGAGCCTTCCTCGGAACAACTAGGGCATTTGAAGAAACATGTGTCCCAGTATTGCTGCCAAGGGAACAATACGCATCTACCTACCGGAGGATCGGGAAAGCCCGCAGGTGGCTGGCCCAACGAGCTCAACCACGATTGCGGCACATCTAATACATATTCTAGTCCAATTCAACAGCCCCCATCTCATCCACCCACAACCCCATCCGCTCCCCTGACGCACCTGTTTCGGAGGCGGGCGCCGGCGGGGGCGGCGGCGGGGGCGGCGCGGCGGCCGGCGGCGGCGGCGACGGGCAGCTGCCGCCGTCGGTGGTGACGTGCCGCGCGCGGGCCAGCGGCGGGTTGCGGGGCGGCGGCTGGACGGCCGTACTGCGGCGCAGAGTGCGCGGCGACAGCGGCGGGTAGGTGACGCCGCGCTGCGCCGACTGCAGGCCCCGCTGTGCCGGGGCGGGCACTGAGAGCTGCTGCGCCGCCTCGGCCGCCGACAGGTTGGGCAGCGACTGGCCCGCCGGCGTCAGGTGAGTCAGCACCGAGAGCTGGTTGGGGGTGGAGCCGACCGAGCGCAGCATCGGCCTCCTGCGAACGAGACAGGGAAGGAGGGGTCAGATACAGATACCACTGCGGCCAGATACAGCTACCACAGCGGTCAGATACAGATACCACAGCGGTCAGATAAAGATACCACAGCGGTCAGATACAGATACCACTGCGGTCAGATACAGCTACCACAGCGGTCAGATACAGTGTAGGGAGAGGCAGATACAGTGTAGGGAGAGGCAGATACAGCAGGGAGGGGCAGGACCGGCGGTGGAGAGAGATCAGCTATCTGCTTCTGCGAGACGGCCTGTGTCTGGCGCCCAGATCGGCTTGTCATGGGGAAGAGAGATGCTGAGACGCGGAATGGTTACATGATGAAAAAGACTAGCACTCGATTAACTAATGACGGTCGATGCCGGACAACGCAAAACAAACACCATAGGAAAAGAAAGAACGTCAGTCCAGCGATGCGCACATAATTCACTGATTGTCCTTATAGGGGCTCCTAGAAACATCAAGAGTAGTTATTGTCGCATTATATAAACCAGGTACCGGTAAATCAACAAAAAAAGCACAGCATAAACCCCAGAAATAGTACAAAACTGACACAAAAGGTCCGAGGTGACGCACATCAACTGACCCGCGTACCAAGTTCACGTAGCTGGTCTAATAGGACTAACGAAAAACAAGAGGAAAGAAATAAACATTCTGTCTTAGACAATATAACCGTTAAACAACCGAGCCCTACTCGGGTAATGGAGCGCAAACTGTTGACGGCACACGTGCGGCCTTTGTAAACGTGCTACGCAACACCGTGTGAGAAAAAGCAGGAACTGCCCAGTGCCCACGTCATGTCAGCTTATGTACTACCAAGAGTTAAGAGATGACCTGCACGTGCATTTGTAAGTTAATAAAAACCTGATAAAAACCATCTTTTCAACGTTCTCATGAAATAAGCACATAGCTACCACAGCCTGCCAAGCAACAGAGCAGCTAGATCGCGATTATTTTCCAGCCGAAACGACCACACATCTATATATTTCTGTGATCGTCTCTGATACTGTCAGCGCGCTGATGCGATTGTCGCACATCTCCAGCCTAGTCCCTCTATTAATCCCGCAAAACAGCCGTTCCAGCCCCTGGCAGCCTCATAACACCGGATTCGCCGCGCTTCACACCATTAATCGCCAGGTGGACTCGGGTGTCACTAGGTCTGTGTAAGATCAGGCAGGGCTCATAGTTGTCTCCGCGTTGGAAATCCAGCGGCGCATCGCTCGCAGTCCCAGCTAAGGGTTCCACAATACTGGAAAATTCACTCGCTACGCAGCGCGTTGGAGAAAAAAAAAACTGGGAAATGAATGAAAGCGCTCAAATGTTTTACATGATTCGGCGATTTTCGAACCAGTGGATTAAATAGAATCATTAATAATCTTCCCACTCTTCACTTTAACGCTCATCGCTCTTCCACGAAAGGATTAGGTCGGGAACAATTTCTTTAAATACAGCCACAATTTGAGAAAATATGAACTTTTCGAGATAAGAAAGCACGCTCAGCAGAGCAGAGACCTTATAGAGCAGCCATCCTTGCTCAGACGCTCCTCAGTCTCGCGTGCTTCATCCGCCGCTCATTCAGTCACTGCAGATCAGTCTCTGCCCAGTCAGTCGCTCCCTCCCCAGTCTCACCTCTCCGTCCTGGGACTGAGCGAGCCACGCAGGCGGGCCGGTGGGTGGTCCTCCGACGCCGACCTCTCCGGCAGGTTCAGTCGCTCGTCGGCCCCGGCGGCCGCCAGAGCCGCCGCGCGCGCCGGACTCGTCTGCAGGGTGGACACTCCGCTCGGGTCGCTGTTGTCCATCGAGCTGCTGCAAAAGGAAGACGGGAGAGTGAGAAGCACGGCAAAGGGAAAGAGGTGACAAGGGGGCTGACAAACGTGAGTGGAAACATGCTTTGCTATGCATTGTTTTAGGTCGGCTAGATGCACCATACACCGGTTAGTTACCTTTCCTGAACACGGTTTAACTGCGAATGTAAAATAATAAACATTGCTTAGTCTTCCAAGGTTAGACTTGTAATAGTTGTTTTCATTAAACCCTGCAGAAAAAGGGAGGCATGAAGATGAAACACTTCACCGGCAGCCGCTGCGGCCGTCAGTACCGCGCCCGCCGACCGCGGCGATCGCGCCGAGCCGTCAGACCGACCTGTGCGAGTGGATGAGACTGGGCACGCGGCTGGTGCGGCTGCTGCCGCGCGGGCTGCGGGACGTCATCAGCGCCGTGGTCGGCGGCTCCAGCTCGTCATCGTCGTCATAGAACACGTACTCCTGGTTGATGGTGGCCAGGCGCGCCTCGCGGTACTTCTCCTGGGCCTTCTTCACTGAGTCGACCCAGTTCTGGGGATAAGACAGACAAATAGTTAATTTTAGAACGGAGACATGCCTGAGCCTGTGTGCAGAGTTTATACTAATATAGTAAATAAAGTAGCATAGAAACATCACCAATATTTCCTCGTCTGTTGTTCAACTGCGCCAGCCCCCAAGGCACCCGAGTGCAATGTAAAAACACACGTGCCTGCAGAGACCAGAAAATGAGCCTCGTGTAAGCAGCAACGTATAGCAAAAGCGCCCAGGCAAATTACTACTGTTTACCTACGCCCGGCAAGATTAATTGCCGCCCTGAAGCAGGCTGTGTATAATGAATTTGGTCGTGTAATGTGTTTTCCTAATACAGCGACACACACTAGTAGTCCCCGGCTATCAACTCCATCAAAGAGCTTAGCGAGGGAGATTTATCCAGCGCCAGGCCATCTCACCAACAGTGAATGCGAAGCCCCAGGCATACTCTCCGGGCCAGGAAGTTGAATCCCTTAACCTTGGCGGCTGCCGGGCCGACCGAGGCGGGGTCGTTTAATTTGGAGACCGCGCCCATGCAATATTGCGCCGAGCAACTACCCTTCAGGCGCCCACATCAAGAACTTCATAAAACCGCAGCGCGCGGTCGGCGGCGGCGGTCGATGAATGAAAACACGTCTCGCGCCACGCGGAACCCGGGGTCCGGTGCGGCCGTAGCACACTATGAGACGCCGCAGCGGCCATAGGGACGGTTTATGGGCGCAGGGAGGCCGCGGAGGGTGACCCGGGAACACACGGTGCCGGCGGAGGGACGATTTAACGAGCCGAGACGCGGCGGGCGGCCGCCGAAAACTTGACCAGCGTGTTTTGGACCGGTACGGGGAAAATGATACCTAAAAAGATGCAAGATGTTTTTTCATAGAGATGGACGCATTTCACAATAATAGCACAAGCACAACTACAAACCTAAAACGGTTAATAACTACATAACTACTTTGTAAGCTGGCCGCTTTGTTATCTCACCACCTCGCTACAAACACGCATTAATTATTCCAGCGTTTGATAACTCCATATCTCACGCAGAATGCATACTTAACCGCAACTTCTCCCCCTCCCTCTCTCTCTCTCTCTCTCTCTCTCTCTCTCTCTCTCTCTCTCTCTCTCTCCTCTCTCTCTCTCTCTCTCTCTCTCTCTCTCTCTCTCTCTCTCTCTCTCTCTCTCTCTCTCTCTCTCTCTCTCTCTCTCTCTCGTTTCTCAACAGGTCTATTCATAAAGCAGCATCCCACTCCGCTGTCTCCTCCCAGTAAAGATCTCAGCCATTACCGCCCCTCCCCCTCCCTCCTCAGTACCCGGGACAGCATGCCGATCAGTGACCAGCTCTGACTGCTGACGGCGGCCGGTTTATTGCCATTCTCCACTGAGCCCGCTGTGAGGGCCCGATCGAGTCGAGCACTGGGTATTTCTGTCAGCTGACCAAACGCCCGACGGCCCAGCGGTGTAACGCTCGGCTGACCGGCCGAGACATTCACCATAACAAAAGTGGAGGCGAAGCCATACTTATGACGTACAATTCGTCAGCCGATGTGTAAAGAATGGCTCGATGCATGTCAATGCATAAATGAGTGATTCGTATTGCTCATTGTTTAGAAGCGTTATATTGCTACGGAAAAAACATTAATAAATAATTTAAATGGTCAGCAGAATGGCTACAAACTTAGACTTATCACTCTTATATTAAATACAAATTTAATTCCCATCTTCATGTGCGTTCCTCCACTACCAACCTTCCAACGTTCCCAACAAGACTCATTCCCATTCCCTCAAAACCGAGGTGACAAGTTTGTCACTCACACTACCATCGCCCCATCAGCACGCACTCCTTCACTCCGCAGTAACTCCCAGGTCACACTCGCTCCCCTCACCTTGCAGTGCCGGCTGTCGGAACAGTAGAGGGTGAAGGCCGCCGTGGCCAGCTGGTACTCGTTCAGGTAGACACAGAGCAGGGCGGCGTCCTTAGTGCCCTCCTGAACCACCAGCCGGTCGATCACGTACGGCTGGCGGATCACCCGCACCTTGTCCCCCTTCTTGGTCAGCGGCTTGCACACCAACAGCATGTCGGTGAAGAGGAAGCAGCGGACGTCCACCTGGAACGGGGTGGAGAGACCGTAGGTGGCAGGCGAAAAAAGAAACGATGATTTAAATAACATCCCGTGAAGAGGTTCTCTTTATTGAAAGCAAACAGCGGAGTTGCTAAATAAGCGATTCTGTTACAGATTGTATCGTAAGAGCCCGAGTGGTTCCACGGCAGTCAAGTATTTCAACAGCTTTCTTGTCAGGTGGATCGAAAAATCAATACAAGATAAAGGGAACGTTTGCATTGTTGCTTCTTTAGCACCAAATGATTCCATCGGTTTAGAAATTGTCAATATGATCGTTAATCCAAGCATAAGACGCAGGTGGGGTACAATCCAAACAAACTCCATAACATAAATTTTGCAATCAGTAAATGAAACTGAAAGCAAACCCTTCGTTATCAACCGCGTACGCTGTGTCCGGGATATTGAGCCGTGCGATGCGGCACAGCATACATTTCAGGCGCTGACCACTACTGCCATCTAGTGGCAGTGGGCCAAAGTAGTCGGGTAATGCGGTGCAGTGTGGTATCCAGCCAGGCGTTGTAAAACGCATCATATAGCCAGGCATATAGTGAGTTTAGGAAATGTGTTTATCACTGATAATTCAGATATTTTAACCCGCGCCCCGTTGGGCTCTGCCGAGCAACGCGCCCAGTAGGGGGGGGGGGGGGCATTTTGGCCCCCCCTAAGATCTCGAGAACCACGCAACCTAGCGACAAGCGGCAAGCGGTGTTGGATAGCCCTATCAAGGAACTACCTTGTGACCCAATTTTATTGACCTAGGTCAAACCGATGACGTCACAGGTCAGGTCAAAGGTCCAATTTTCACCGTTTACAGGCATTTCAAGAAATGCGTTCTAAAATCGAGTAAAATGCATTTCATTGAAAATCATCGATGGGGAAATGTTCTTCAAACACATATTTTGCTATTTGAGGTCACTGATACCAGGTCAGGTCACAGAGGTCAGGTCACGGGGGGGTCACAATATGAAAGTGTCGTGTGATACATGTTTAATGGTCCATTTTACATGACAAATGCGACTATGTGGGTCAGGCAGCCTTTGGGGCCAGCTTAGGTCACGTTTTGGTCAAGATCAGGTCAAGGTCAGGTCAAGGTCAGGTCAAATTAGGTCAAATTTCAAAGTTAATATTTTTGCATAAAATGGGTATCGAATCGATGCAGCTCGTCAAGAGGAGTTCAATGGTGGTCTTTGTTTTGCCGTACGTGGTCTAGAATCGCTAAAAATTGAGTTCAAAAATTTGACGTCATCATTTTTGAACAATTTTTTCGCTATAACTTGGCCAAAAAACGAGATATCGATCTGAAATTTAGTATGTATATAGAAGAGCGCAGGGACTATCACATATATTCCGTTTTTTTTTTCGAAATTCGGAAAAATTTTGGATTTTTTTTAGTTTTTTTTTTCTAAAAAATCAATTTTATTTTGGTCAAAAACCCAAAATTTTTAAAATCCGAGACAGCAGTTTTGTAGCACCGCTTTTTGTCTACTAGACCATATAAAGAACTTTGAAATTGCTTGATAACTGTAGATTTGTTGAGCGTTTCAAGATTGCATGTTTTTTGCTCATTTCTGCTCGAACATGACCTTAGTTTGACCTCAATAACTCCTGACCTAAGGTGACCTATGACTTGAAATTTGGTGTGAAGGTGTCAAATTGATGCCCGGGAAGGTACAGAAAATTTGCAGCGCCGCCGTTTTCTTGCTATTCAGGAAAAACCACAGGGGGGGGGGGGCAAAATGCCCCCCCCCCAACGGGGCGAGGGTTAAGGATGGACTTGAATGTTGTTGGTATAAGAAAAACATAAGAAACATTTCAGAAAACGAATATAACGCACAGTATGCTATTAATTGCTCTTAGCGATCACATTCATCTTAGAAAGCACGGCGATACTGATGACACTTGAAGCTTATTGACAGCTATTCCCAATAGGTTACATATGGGCATTGCATCGCTATTGATCAGTGTAATTGCTCGTTACCAAAGAGAGCGGCAGTCATCCATACCGGGCGGATCGGGCCTTTAGAAATCGTCTGTACCTTCCATCATGGAGACAGCAGAGGAAAAGACGGAAGCGGCGCAGGGAGAGAGATAATCAGCTCAGGAGAGATGAGAGAGAAGATAAGAAAGGCGAGGTAGAGACAAAAAGAGGAGGCAGAGGAGAACAAGCGAGAGGCGGGAGAAGAAAGAGAAAGATGGAAGGGGAAGAGAAAGAGAGAGAAAGAGAAAGAAAGAGAAGGAGGGAGGTAGAACGAGAACGAGAGCGAGAGCGAGAGCGAGAGCGAGAGAGAGAGAAAGAGAGAGAGAGAGAGAGAGAGAGAGAGAGAGAGAGAGAGAGAGAGAGAGAGAGAGAGAGAGAGAGAGAGAGAGAGAGAGAGAGAAAGGGAGAGGAGAGGGAGGGAGAGAGAGAGAGAGGCGCAAATAACAATAGGAGAGAGAAGAAAGAGCTGGTGGAGGAGGGTCGCCGAATTGTGAGACCAGACCCGGGACGTTCGGTCCGCTCGGCTGGAATAACACGATCGGGGCCGCACTGGGGAGATGGCTCGCTGGCCACCCTCCCCTCCCCTCCGCCGGCCCTGAGCCGGTCGATGGGACAATTTTACACGTGATTAGGGAAACTAGAGCTGGCTCAGAATAAGAGAAAATGTCTCACAAGAAACCTCGTTTGAAAACGAAGTGTGTAAATGAGGCATACGCGAGTTCCTACTAACTATCAATTCAACGTCAAAACGAAACAGTATGAAACAGCATGAAACATTTTCAATATCAACTTCTCATATTTTTCCGGAAATGTTCTCCGAAAAATATCGCAACAGAACACTTCCAACTGTTATATAGACCCAGAATCTGTGTGCCTCACCTTTCCATCTTCTTTGCATGCATCTCACGAAAACGTCTGGCAGCTGAGAGCACCGCTATCCGGGCAGCGGACCTACCTTGGAAGAGACGTGATCCCTCAGTTTGAGTTCGCCCTCCAGCAGCAGGTAGCGCCGGTGGACGTCGCTGCAGCCCGGCATCGGACACGTCAGGTCCAGCGAGAGGTGGGGCTTCATCGCCTTCTCCAGCTCATCGTCCTTGGTGTCCTGGGAAGGGACAGGTTAAATTAGGTCAGGTGTGGTCAGAGCAGGTCAGGTCAGATCAGGTCAATTTGGGTAACCAGAGCAGGTCAGGCCAGGTCAATGTGGGTGGTTAGAGCAGGTCAGGCCAGGTCAATGAGGGTAGCCAGAGCAGGTCAGACCAGGTCAGTGCAAAGACGAGATATGTTTGCACTGACTGCACTGAACCATGCTTGAGACATTAGAAACGAGTGAAACGCACCAAAGCTTTACCAGATGCCTCCCGGATTTTCCAAGTTCCGTCATCTGTTAAGACTAGTTTAAACCTTACTCTGAGCAGACAATAGTACTGCTGAAAGTTTCGCTGATGGAAAAGCAAAACCCGAAAGCCGGGGTAAAAATAATTAAGAAAACCGTTCAGTAACAGGCGATCTGCTAGAAAACAAATTTCATGCGTCATCAACATTCGCTGATTGGGATTTCTAGCAATGATGAGAAATTATAGACCAATTTGACCATCGATTTGGGAACCCACTCCTCGCAATTGAATTGCCAAACAAGATAGATGGAAGTATTCCCGAGCATGTGCACCAACACAATAATTTAAAGTCGTCGCTGCAACTATTTCGACCGTGGACGTTCCGAGAAGTGTTCCGCAATTTCGTCTGACAAGCCGGCAGTGGCGGCAGGCTATAACGCCGCGGACGCAGCCAGTTCTAAGCGAAGCAAATGACGCACAGGAATTTCTCTGTGAGCGCCCGAAGTCGCCGGTTATTGTTGTCACAGTCATTGAGAAGACTTATCGTCACCGTTCTTCCCAAGACTGGTGAGTTTCAGACACGAACATTTCTCATGCGGCCAGAAACAGCGCCTCAGTTCTGCCGGTCACTTGTATAGAGGTACGAGAATTGAGTCTCGTACCCCGCATCAAAAGTCCCAACAAATTTAATCGCAGACAAATGAGCCTGGGAAATCATGATATCTTATTGGAATTTGAGATGATCATTTTCAGGGTTCCTCTGTTTCTGCAATAATAAAAATGCCTAAAAGAATAGTGCTCTGAATTTTTGCGTCCCCAGCAGTTAGAGGCGTCGTGGGGGCCATCTCTTACCACGCAGTCGTAGCTGTCGATGCGGCCTATGATGGCGCTGAGCCGCTCCTGCTCGTGCCGACTGCGCAGAGATCCGTCGACGCTGCCCACGAACACGTCCACATCCTCGATCTGAAACACACCGGGAATGGGGACGTGACAGTCAGTCCTGGGGTGCCACGGAGCAGAGGTATGACATACTGCTAAACATGACACATATGACACATAAGACACAATATCCTAGCAAATGATTGTAATATGAATGCTATTTAGGTGTGTGCTGTAAAGTATTCTAGATGGTAAGAGACGAAAACTGAAGAGTACCTACGATGTTATTTTACCGTACCTGTTCCGATAAGACAGCACCCAGCCGACTCACGTCCAAACAACAACCGGCAACTAAAAATAAAATATCGTACCGGAAACTGTTGATAGCGCGCTGTACCACCACTAATCGGCTCGACTACAGGTTATCAACTCAGCTAACGGGGATAAAGCGACCACAGCTCACCGCTCCACCGCCTCCTCTCGGTACACAACCTGCCCCCGATTCGCCAAAGTCATCACCGCACACCATTAGCGCCCCACTTCCTTTCCGAAAACCGGGGGTAGTCGGCAGCGACCTACCGCTCTGCCGCGGATTCGCCATCGCTCGCCGCTGATGGGAGCCTAATAAACAGCGGCTTAGCGGCGCCGTATCCGCTGACAAGCACGGATAACGACCCGGGGGATCTCCCGGATAGACGGCACGAGTGCTCCGGCTCATTGACAGCCGCTGCGTGCTGGTTGTGTGCTGGTTCTGACAGTTCTGACCAAGTTCTGACACACGGGGACGTCCTGGCGTGGGCAGGCAAAGTAAACTGAAGGGTAGAAAGACATGATCAACTGGGAATGACACGCCACGGCGTGTAAAATACCTACAGCCGAGCTTCCGGTATAAGTTTTTATCTTGATTTCAGAGCGGCAGCATGAAAGACGCGGAAGTTGTTATAGATGAATAGCGACGTGGAATTACTAACAAGAATCACAGCTCGTTTCAAACGAATGCTGCAGCAGAGGTTTTCCGGCAATGCAGGGAATGTCTGAGACAGCTAAAAGAAAAATAAGGCAATCGATCCCAGCGAGGGACGATATTTACACCTAAAAAGTTGACAATTTAGTGAAATACTCAGAAATCAAAGCTGAGAGCTGATGAGTCTAGAGGTCGATCGGGCACAAAGTCTCTCGATGCCCGCATTTGGATCCGTTGTGTGACGTCACAATGGCGTCACTGTCATGTCAAACATCCTGATAGTAATGGCGTCCCATTAACCCTTGGTGTGGCACCGGCGATAGACACCCAGCAAACTGTGGCCAAACTTGGCTCGCGGATTGATTCAATACCTGTCCAAAGGGCTTCCAAACAGACCGAATGTGATGGGACAGGTCTCTCACGTCTGAGCCAATATGAGGGATCATGGACACAGAAACTGCGCCATCTACGCAAGATACCGGCTACTATATAGTTCATAATGTGATTTCACAAATGGAATAATTAAATGAAGGTCAAACATCACTCATCAGAATAGTCAGCAATACCCAAAACTAAAAAGCATCAGGTACTGAATGATTTCACTTCCTCAGGTGAAACTAGCAACGATTAATGGAAAGTCAAGACATATCTCGTAGCGACAAAAATGACCGTACCATCCGCCTTTGAATACATACAACATTACAACCTCCCCTCACGAGTCGGCGACTACACTTCTCCCAATTAAAAACTCATGCCCCGTACGCCTCGCTAAATGCCCCGACACAACTTGTTATCATTTTCCCCGGGCCGTCAGTTGACGATCACGGACCGCCGTGTAATCGACTGATCTATCGGGCGAGTTTAGCACCGGACCATTAATCGGGCGCTGTTCAGCTCGGTGGCAGGAGCGGCCGGCCGTCAGGCCTGCTAACTCCAGCGACGGCCGGCGGAGGGGCCAGGGAGGGGAGGCAGGGCACGGTGTAATCAGGCGCGGGCCAGCCGGGGACAAACAAGCCCGGCGACGTCAGGCGAGCGTCGCGCAGCTCGCAGCTGTCGCAGCCGGCTGAGCGAGCGTCGGAGCGCCGCCTGAGACAATCACACACGCGGGATCACACAGGGGACGGACGCGAGGACAGAGGCGCACGCAACGCCCAAGACGCCTTCAGACGAGTCTAGACGGCTTCAGATGACTACAGACGACTATAGACGACTATAGGCGACTAAGACGACTCTAGGCAACTAAAGGAAACTGCAAGTTACCATAATCAGCCCAAAGCGACTCCAAACGGCTTCAGTCGGCCAAGGACGACTCTAGGTGACTATAGACCACCATACAGGTGACTACGGACTACAGTACTCCATAGACCGACTACTCCACAGGACCAGAGACCAGACGTCTACGTCAGGCGCAGCGAGACATGTCAATCAATGGTCGGGCTGTGGTGTAAAGGCGCATAAGTCATAACTTCACAGGTGTGAGCAGGCCCAGCAAGTGTATTGGCACGGAATCAAATACCTTTTGAGAGCAGCGAGGAAGTAATAGAGGAAGCATTATGAAAGCTGAATAGGACTGGGAATAGCTATACGGCACAGCGGTTCTGGCAAGCAAAAACATTCAATACTTTAAGTGAACGCCATTTGACTTCTAATAAACGTAATTTTTGAACAATGGCGAACAAGGTGCAGTTCAGGACTTCAACAATAATTTTGATTTCTGAGCTTGACGAAAAACGGTTATGTGCACTTCGAGGAACGGATGAAGCCAAAGGAGCCCGATTGCACTGCTGGGATTAGCTCCAAGGATCAGAAGAAACGACAGGAGAGATCCTTAAAATAGATTCCGAGCTGGCACGCTGATAAATTTGTCGAGGCTCCAAACTAAATTAATGCTCGATTGGTTGGAGAAATCAGATTCGAGCTAGCTTGCCATGGTGCGGTAGTTTTTGCAATGGCACATCGATGGATCCCATAAATTACCAGTGGGTGAAACGAAAAGTTCCGCTAATGCAAAGTTAGAACGCAAGGGGCTTATAAAAATGCAAAACATCGAGCTGTCATTAATTTGAACAGCCTCTAAAAGCACGATGCGCAGCAAGCACAACATAAATTGTGACATACATTTCCTTCTTTTCTCGACCATTTTGGTCACGACTCGATTTGTCTCAACCCACGCTGACCCTTGACACCACGCGCCGCTGACCTTTGGGTCACTCCCCGAACCTCCATTACTCCACCAGCCGCCGTTCCTAATGACCTCAGGTCATTTCCGACACCCTCCCTCCCCTCCCGAAAGGGGGGGGGGGCGAGTCGGCCGCTTTGATCGCCGCCGCTGTCAATGTTTGTGGCACGACGCTGTGTTTGGCCGGGGCCGTAAACGGCGGCGGCGCTCACTGGCACGTCAGGGACGCCGCGCGAGTGTGATCACCGGCCGCCGCCGCCCCCGCCCAGAGAGGGACCGGAAACCGCGCTCGCTCAGACGGACTGTACACAGCGCCGCCGGCCAGATGACATACTGGAACAACACAGACCGTCTCGGCCGGCGGCGCCGGATAAGAGGCCGGGCCGAGTAATCCAAACGGTCGGCGCACCACCGACTCGCTAACAGAGGAACAAGGGAGCATTGTGTCCTGCGGGATGTTTGATTCTCATCGTGATATCTGCAGTAGTGCTTATTATTACATTAAAATGTTTTATAATTCTCTTAATATGTTATGTTTTCTACAGTACAATTGAATTCAACTTGTGGGTAGCATCATTATAAAACGTTACGCGAATTTCCTTTCGAAATCGCATTTTTATTTTTCTGATACCCATGCATACTTAGGACAGATAACCCGGCTAGAACCTATAATTAGACACCATTTATAATTCTAAGATGCAGCAGCAGGTCGAGACCCACCAGAGTGTCGTTATGGAAGCGACTCATCACGTCGAGGAAAATTCATATCAATCAGTAACAGCATTAGAATTGATATATTTCGCGCAGCTGTGCAGCGATTCGCAATGACATTATAGCCCGAGGACGCAATAGCAGGCAGTGCTTTAGATCCGAAATGGTTGGATGATGTCCAGAACCCAGCAAAGGACAGTTTTTAGTAGATCAGTTAGTAGATTTTTAGTAGATCAGTTATCACCTTACACTTTTCAGCATATAAGATACTGACAAACCTAGAACATTTCGTCACCGTATCCTAGACCAAACTAAAAGTCGACCCGAGCGTCACCATAACTAATCTGGCCACCAACCCAAGTCACCATAAGCCTAACTCGACACCAGCTAAACTCGCCATCAGCCAAGCTTGCCACCAGCCGAAGTCGTCAACAACAATTCACCACCAGTCCCAGCCAAGTTCTCCCAAACCCCAATCGATACTCACCATCTGCCTCAGAATGGCCTGCTCCTCCTGCGGCTCTGTCTTCTTCAGGATCGCCTTCAGCAGCAGAGAGTACTTGGTGAGGCGCTGCCAGGGCTTGGCCAGGATGTCCACCAGCCTCAGCCGGTTACAGTCCTTCTGCGTCTCACACCACTGCGGAGACAGCGGGAGGGCAGGTCAGATTGCGGGTCATGAGACAAATTACTGAAATGGCGAGGGTGATAGGACAGGTGGCTATTGGAGCACAAGAGAGGTCAGTGAGGAGGCGGTGGTCGAGGTCTGGAAACTGCTCCGTTAGTCGGTGAGCCGCGTTTATTGTTTTCATTTTTTTATGTTTTTGGCGTCTGCACCTTGCGTACTCTGAGCCGTGACAAAGCTGTTTGGAATCTGGGGCAGTCTTTCATTCTTATGCAGATTCGATTATTTCCATCAGTATTTCAGCCACAATCGAATATAAACACGCCCAGGAGAAATACCGCGTAAAAGAGTCATTTTCGCGAAAATGTTTGTGTGGCGAGGCTCAGAAATATTTTGACAGCCGAGTGAATACGCTCACAGAAAGCCTCCGTTCGTCTGTCGATCGAGCTGCCATAAATTGTCATTGTTTGCGTCCGTTCGGATGATGAAAGCATGACAAACTAAGCGCAGCCAGCTCAGCCGTCAACACAGGGTCCCAATACATCTATCCATCTACCGATCCCGCTTACAGAAACACTCGAGATTACTCGCTGTTACACTCGAGATTACTCGCTGCTCGCATTAATTCTGCTGTCTGTCCTCAAAGCACACCCCCGCTCGACCCCAACGCACAGCGGCGCTCTCATTTCCATCCGAGGCGGTACTCTGCGCGCGACCTAAGGCGGCTGCTTCCTCTGCCGTCGGGGGACAAAGAGTCGCAGTAGCACACGCCGGATCCGGGAGACGCCTGGGCGCGCGTCTCCGCTACCGGTTGCCGTGGTAACGGATAGTCCAATCAGGGGACTAAGTCACGCAGAGGCGGCCGCACGTTTTTGTTTCTGGCCGAGCGGCGCCGCCGGCCGCAAACTTGCGGGAAAAGATGGGACGCAAGCCGCACGGCTTGGCAAAGCGAAACCTGTTTGCTGGCAAACTTTCCTCCCAGGGGCGTTGCCGCAACAAAGCTGATCCTGATCGCGAGAGTGTTAGTCGTTAGGTGTTCCCGATCTGCCCATGTCTATCCCAACTACGATCGACACTCAGTGTCGATCAGTGTCTCGAACGAAATTTTACGCTGTCTCAAACTCCAACCTTTTATCTACAAAGTCTACCTGTTTTGGAGTCCCATACACAAAGGGCGGATACAGATTGGACCGCCCATCCGCAGTCAGCATACTGCGACGTTCAGATAATGCCGTCCGATCAAATTACAGTCCACCGGCGCACAAAACAGAAAAACGAATTCACATCACGCGACACCCTACGAGACAACAGCACGTGACCCCGCATCGTGAGATTTCTCAAACACTTCCGTTCGCTTTGATATGGACGAAAAAGCTCGCTACACACGCGACGGTTCAAGCACAGCTGCTCTTCGGCATAGCGGATCAAAGTAGAATAGTGTTTGTTTTGGGAACAGCTCTGTTGTATGCAATGAGACATTTAATAATTCATATAAACTCATGCACGGATAAACACAAATGCACGGCTCGCATGCTTAAGTATACCCATGACGTGAACCCGCCGGTAATTATAAGCAGCCGAGGCGGTCCTTTTAGTGACCATATGCCGTTAAACGGCCGCTCGTCTGAGCCGCGTAACGATTCGTCCCGTCTAGTAATGAGCTCGTCTTTCGCCGGCAAAGAGCTGCAACAGACACGTCAGCTCACAACACCGGCATCCGGCGCTTTTAGAGGGACACGGCGAGACTTAAATCTGTCGGCTTAGTGTCGCCGGTGGAACGGACGCAGGGCGGACTGGAGAAGTGCTGCTCCGAACGAGGCACTTGTTACGGGCGAGATGACGACTTGGAGTGGCGAGCAGGCGATGTGAAAACGACGCCAGACAAAATACGAGCATCCGACGAAAGTTTAACTTTAAGTGGGCTGTTGTGGAGGCGAGAAACAAGAAGGTACGAAATAATAGACGTATAAAATAGAAAAGTTAATAATTCATCAACGGTAGACACAGGGAATGATAAAAAAATCGTTCCGGACACAAATAATCACTTCGCAAACTTTGGACGTGACGATAAACATTGTGACGCGAGAAAACTGAAACAAAACTGAGAACAAAATTCACCAGGATGCAGCAAACACACACATACAAAACAGACGATGAAAACAGAAAAGTTCGAGAAAGCCCGAGCGCCATAACGTGATCGGGCGAACGAAGGAAGGGCTTTTTTTTTTTAGTGGCCCTAACTTACGTTACCGGCCTCGCGAGGAGGGCAAAGAAAGGGCGATTCACCGCGAATGAAGTGCGTCTACATGAGGTGCTACAATCTGGCCGATCGGCCATCGAATCTGGCTTTAGCGCTGATGGAGTCCGGTCCGTCTGCCAGCTGGTCCAGACAGGAGCGTTCCGGTGATATGTGGCCGCCGTCGGCCGGAGCACGGCCCGGGGTGACCCCGGCGGCCCGGCCCCCTGCGGGGAACTCCTTCTACCGGTCCGGCCCCCGTCCACAGACGGCAGCGCTCAGCCCGACCTCGACCCAGTCGGCCGGTGCGCCGACCGTGTCCGACGAGCTAATTAGCTGCACCGGACACCTCGGCGGCCCACTTTTCCAGATTGGCGCCCGTCGGCCGGCCGAGCGCGCTGCTCGCGACCAGCGCCGGCCTCTCAGAGGTCCGTCACCGGCCCGCTTAACGAGCCGTCTCGGCAGCGCGCCGCGGATGACACGCGCCGCAGAGCGCTTTACAGCGGTGCCGAGGTGCGCCGGAGCCGCCGGCCGCGCCGCTTATGGCGAACTTCATGCCGCTGTCTCCGGGAGAAGTCGGCGAAGGTTCGCGATGAGCTCCATCGCGCGGCCGACTGAGTGCATTTGGACATTAGAGATGTCCCAACAGCGCGAGAGCGAGACGATAAAGTGGTTGCCGAGCTGAGTGATGACAGTTGTAATGTGCGGAGTTCCTGAGTTTGTCCGCACTCAGTATGGTTATTATTCGCTCTGGGACGAGACGAATTGCCTATGAGGTTACCACAAACATAATCACATAACAATTATACCAGCCTGATAACACGTATCAGGGAAGTGATAACTGTATACTGATTATGCCGCAACGATGTTCATATGGCTATTGTGTAATACACTCAGACGAGATGGAGACTGTTCCCGACTAAGCGCGCACTTACCGCCAGGTATCCGTTGAAGAGTCCGTTGCTGCGTGAGAGTGACTTGCAGTACAGTTTGCTGTTGTTCTGATCCAGACAGTAGCGAGTGTACGGGTGGCAGATCTCCTCAAACTGGCAAACAAACACCACCGCGTCAGAACCACCGTAACAACAGACAAAGGTCTTGGAAACAGAAACATCTTTCATACACTCCATAGCGTCGTCCGTCGCCATCATCCCAACCTGAATCGTGACGACTCACAATACATACCTATGACACGTGACCGTTTATTACTACCTCATATCACGTGACCCATAAATAACCCCGTCACACCCATGACTCCGTGACCCGTGCCGTGACCTGTCGCCACTCACCTGAGCGAAGCCGTCTCGCATTTCGGTGATGTCCAGCGGCTGGCGGCTCTTGCGCGCCTTGGTCAGCATCCGGAGCACGTGATCGTGCCAGAAGTGGCGGTTGGCCGCGTAAATCTCCTGGATGTTGGAGAAGAGTTTCTCGGTGCTGACGTCAGTGAGGATGCCGCAGTGTTGCAGGTTGCACAGGCACGAGAGGAACAACTGCGAAACAGAAACACATATCTGTTAGTCGGCAGCCATTCGAACAGTGTGAAGGATATACATAGGGGCAATGTAAGGAAGAGACAATTTAACGGATTACAGTACACATTTTTATTATCTATAACACGAGCAAAAAGAAAGACAATATATGTAGGCACACGAACTTTAAAACGTTCTGTATGAGATATCAAGTCAAATACCATAGCTTCAAGTCTCTTCTCATAACCTCAAGTCTCTTCTGAAAGCTTCAAGTCTCTGCTATCCGTTACATTATACCTTCTGCGGATATCAAGTGGTGTACCGTCTCCAAAAACCGGGCCGAACCCGCTCAGTCGAGTGTGCGCTTTTGTTGGCCGAGCAATCGAGACCGATCTATTAATCGTGCTGCTCGCGCCACATTTGCCGGCAGATCTCAGAGAGCGAGCCCGAGAAATTCGTCTGCCCCGCTGGAAAATCGGCAAACTGTCCGCCGATACGGATCAGTTTGGCAAAGTTTTCCGGGAGGTGTCTGAACTTCCCCGGGACACGGTCTCGGCAGAACTAATGAGCCCCACGGGACTTAATAAGCCGACGGAAAACAAACACGGCCACTTTGAGGACCGTTTGGCGACAGACAACAAACACGTCTACTTAGCTGCGGACATATGGTAGAGAAGCCAGCGACAGGCTTGCTTAGTCCACCAGTCTAAGAACATCAAACATAAATCGTCACCACAAAGAGCCGATGCTGCGTCTCCGGCCAAATATAGCCCGGCAAATGGACCGTAAATACCGTGTCCGTTGATACCGATTACTGATGGCGTGGCTGGCCTGCTGCTGACACGGGGACTACCACGGTCGTCTGGACCGTGAGAGCTCTGTACCGGGTCCCGCCGTGGCGGACGGGTCCAGCGCTACAGCTTGTCGTTGAGTGCACCAACAATTACTGAAGACACGTATTGCAAGTTCGATGGTGTTTGAGTTTTGGCCTTGACATCATTTCCTAACACGTCTATCCTTCCAGCATTCTTTCCTGTCCTCATTGATCTCTGATCAGACATCTCGCAGCTGTAGCTCGTAAGCGCGAATCGCCTGCTGTGGCACACCTGATCGCAGCTCCGACCAGCACACCCACGGCCAGCGTGCCTGCTATGATTAACTACCCTCGGCCGTCGCGTCTGGCCGTCTTCCCACGCCTTGTGCCCCCTCCTGCCCACCTCTGGACTCTACCTCATCACCCTCCACTCTACCCTTATGCCATCGGGAGTCCCTGGAGGCGGATCGCGCCTCCGCGGAGCAGCGAGACATTTGTCTTTCGCAGCTGCCGTCGGCTCATGATCACACCAAAACGCGTGGGGTGAAGTTCGTGGGGAATGAGCAACAGTCCACGTAACGACGAGTGTGAATCGGGAACGATTTGCCTCTCCATCAGTCTGCGAGAGGTGGGACGAGCACAAGGTGGCGAGGATTAGCGAGAAAAGGCGAGCAAAAGACTAGAAAAGACGCGAAAAGGCGAGGAAAGGCGAGGAAAGACGAGGAAAGGCAAGGATAAGGCAAGCAAGAGCGTCAAATGGAAAGGAATGGCTTTGATGTGGGCCAAGTTGACCTGAATCGATGCCGCCCACAGCGCGGTGTGTCGGTCGCTAGTGGGACAATACGGGCGTCCTCAAAGGCACCTCGGACAAAAGCCACGAGGTTACCGCTGCGGTATGGAAACTCAGCCTCGTTTGTTCTAATTTCAATGGCAAGTGGCGAATGGTTCAGTGGCGCTTCTTTTGCGTCCAGTAGAAACTTTGCCGTGCATGACAGGCATAAATAAATGCAGTAGCAGGTCAACTAACTTTGTTGTAGCATGACCAACTGCAGGATACAATTGAACTGATGAATGCTTAACAGTCTGCTAGCCCATCGTCCTTTTAACGATAAACATACAACCTTAGATCACGGTCTTTATGCGTATCGACGCCCACTTTCGATCACCCCCCGTTCCCGAGATCTCTGGGACCAGTGACAGGCGTTTTCCCATCCATTTCAGATAGCACCCCTATCCACGACACACCAGATGCATAGGGGCCATTCGTCGCACGTCGGCGGCGCCTACTACCGGCGCCGGCCGGCCCATGGCTCTGTGACACGCGCTAAATGACACGCCACCGCGCGGGGCAGACCGCATCAGCGCCCAAATGGAGCCGCAGGTGATGTACGCCTCGTCTGACACTATCTCCGTCATGACTCGTGCGGGTCATTGCATGGCACGTCTGGTGAGGTCGGCACCGCATTTCAGAGCGGGGCATAGCGCCTGAGGCGGTGGGCGAGGTCAGAGGTCACCGCGACGCGTATAGCAGCTCGGGGCACCCGTGGCAGAGGGCGGCCCACAACCAAACCGGCGGGGATCCGCCACATTTGAAGTGCCATCATACCGGGACATGAAACAGCACTCACTAACCCTCCCGCTCCGAGCGACGCGCCTTTGAACGCCCTCGCCGTCCGCGTCCCGTGGACTGTTAAGTGCGCGTTTGACCCTGAGAGAGCCCGGCCACGGATGTACCGGGAGTCACGAGACCAGACACAGCTCACAGAGCCTCACGGAGCGTGCCAGACACGCGTCCAGCCCCGGACACCGACGCGGAAGCCAACTGTGCTCGTCAGTAAGTTTGCTAAGATAATGACGGTCCGTTAAAGCGGCAGACTCGTGCTCGGAGCAGCGTCTGTCGGGCGGCCGGCTAGTTTGCGCCGTAGTTGGCGGCACGAGCTTCGATCTATTTGTGGGCGGCTTGTAACAGGTAATTATGGCCGCGCTGATTAGGCGCCAGAACAGGCAGCGGCTTTGTTTCAGAGCGCGCTGATTAGTTTTCTTCTTCTTGGTTTTATCTGCCAGATAGAATGAGGTCTCAAAGCAAGGTGATTTTGTTTTCATTTCACTGATTCGTGGCGGCAGGAGTGCTCATTCGTATTCGTAGAAAGGCAAAAATGCGTTCACCTTGACAAAAGCTTTTCTTTTCTTTTTGGCAAAGCTGATATAATTTTGCTGAGAGATTCATCATGCCTGGGGTTTCATATTGAAACGGAATACAAAGTCCTTTTTCCCACGTCGTTAATAAGTTCAGCTAAAGCTAATGGAACTATAACTAAGAAGCATTTAGCCGGGTGTAGCCCTCAGGGCCGGTCTGAGAACGCCACGTCCCAGGTCATTAGGCTCATTAAGGTCGGGCTTCCGTCGCGCTGATCAGCGGAAGTGGACGGGCTGGACCCCAACCCACAACCGATGCCCTCGCGACAAACAAAACAGCCCATTCAGGGTCGCGAGAAAACACCACAATTCAGAGAGCATGGTTACCTCTCAATGCGCCGCCGCTGTGTTCTATCCATTCTGCCATAGTGCTAACTTTGCCACTAATTACTCAATACTATTATGCTCTGTATTTAGGGCCTTGTGCTCTGCCACGACCAGTAACATCCCTCTCCCCTTTGACCCGCGCTGGGGAAAACAATCCCCACCACCGACCGCCGCGCCCGCGTCCTATTCGCACTAACATTTTGTGTCCACCACTTCAGAGCGTCCGCCGAGACCCGGCAGGCGCGGGGGTGGCTCGAGCTCGCCCTTCAGCCTCTCGAGGCGTCTCTCTGGACTGCCCAGTGCACGCACTCCAACGTCCCGGCGAACCGCAGAGGCGGCGGGACGATCGGGAAAATACCGCATAGGCAACTCTGCCATATAAGCATCTGTTCCACTTCCATCAATAATCCGGAAAACATACTGCTTATTCTAACATTACTAAGGCTTGTAATTGCGTTCAATTTACTTCCATTCTAATAATCTACATCTTCGCCGTTTTATGGCATATTATATCTAACCTACCTATCGTTTTCGAACGTATGCTTGTATTCTTCATAATACTTCACGAATTAAAAGCGCCGTATACTTGACCAGCCGCATACACCCGTGTAGAGCCAGCTCCTCAGCCGCTGCGCCACTTACGTCAGTGATGACTTTGAGCGTGTGCAGGTAGGCGGCCTCCGTGTGTACCAACTCCCAGATGGCATTCTGCTGCTGGTGCCGCCTCTCCGACAGGGTCTCCGGCGCGTCCACCAGCTCCCGCCAGTCGCTCTCCAGGTTATACAGCTCTGGAACGGGGCGAGGGAGAGAGCGTGAGAGAGAGAGAGAGAGAGAGAGAGAGAGAGAGAGAGAGAGGGAGAGAGAGAGAGAGAGAGAGAGAGAGAGAGAGAGAGAGAGAGAGAGAGAGAGAGAGAGAGAGAGAGAGAGAGAGTGAGTGAGTGAGTGAGTGAGTGAGTGAGTGAGTGAGTGAGTGAGTGAGTGAGTGAGTGAGTGAGTGAGTGAGTGAGTGAGTGAGTGAGTGAGTGAGTGAGTGAGTGAGTGAGTGAGTGAGTGAGTGAGTGAGTGAGTGAGTGAGTGAGTGAGTGAGTGAGTGAGTGAGAGTGAGTGAGTGAGAGAGAGAGAGAGAGAGGGGGACGCAGAAAGAGAGGAGACAGATAGTTCTTAAAAAACGCGCGCTTGCTGAACTACTAGAAAACAGCACATGCAAAAAAGAGCACCTGAAAAAATTGGTAGGATTTCGTATTCGGTTTCCTACTCGGCTTTCAGCCTCGCCGTTCTCGGGTCCATTACGCAATCTCTAGCCTGCTAACACATGATGATGGAAGCTAGCACGACGCTAAGTGCACACCAAAGTGGTCAGCCGTAAGTGCATCAATTAACCGCCAACATGCTTCTTAGCGCCAGTCAGGCAATCACGGTAATGTACAAAACGGGTCTGCGGTAATATAATGGGTGGCGCTGAGAAACGCTTCAGCGCTGCCAGCACTCAACATCATGTGAAATCCTACACATCTAACAAAGCCTGCCGTTGCAGCACCAGCAAAAACGGTCCAGCCTCAGACGTGAGATGGATAGCTAACGTGACATTTCGCCGGTATTTTCAGCCTACCGCACCGCCACCGCCGCCGCCGCCGCCACCCCACTCCTCCCGGCAGTACCTCCCGTCCGGAGCGGTGGGCCCCCACACTGCGCACGAGCGCCCACCGCCTGATTGAATTCCAGTATCCGTCCCGGCCAGCGCCGGATGGGGAGCGTTCGCCAATCCCTGCCCCCGGGGAGCGCGGGCCACAGCTCGCCAGGCCCTCGTCTCTGCTCCTGTCCTTCCCCGCTCCTCCCCAGGGAGACCGGCCGTCTCTGCCCCTGTTCTCCCCAGGTCCTCCCCCAGATGTCCCGGTCAAATGCGCTGCCCAGGGGACCGTGCTGACTGGTCAGCCAGTGGCTAGGACCGGCCCCCTGGGTACCGGACGGCAGGTCAGCGGTATTGGGAAATGGCCGCTGACGGCTCAGGTCGGCAAAAAGCCACGTCGAGAAAAGGTAATGGAAAAGCGGTCATAGCAACATCAGCCTCCTATGGTAAGCATCAAAATACATTGCGCAGAAAATATGGAACGACACTCGATAGCAGCAAAGCAAGGATCGCATTTAACGAAGCAAATGAAGTACATACATATATAAAATTAAGAAAAATAAAATATTTTCATCAATATAATGCACTGATGGACTACCGAAGGCACGCAGTGACTACCAGAGGGTCACGTTACCACGGACAGAGTATCATATCTGACAGTCACGGAGATACACTGAGAGACACAGGACCACTGACAGACAGACAAACTGACAGACACTGACAGACACAGAGAGGCGACTCACCCTCCTCCTCCGCGGCGTCGCCGTCAAAGTTGACCAGGTAAGGCAGGCGCGGAATGCCGTGGGTGCTGTAGTTGTCCAAACACTGGATCATCTGGTCCATGCGGGCAGCACTCGGCTCCTGGAGGGAAGAAAGTCCGTTGTGAGTAGCACTGTGCTAACCGTTGTAATACAACTGGTTTGATTTTTGACATTGCTGAAGCCGTAAGAACAATAATCCTCAATCTTGAGCTTATCACAGCAGCCAAGGGATCAGTCTGTTAAAGGGTTCCAAAGAGCGCCCAGCAGTAGCTCAAAGAGAGCGTGCGTCTCAACAAAGTCCATTGGCGCAAGGCATATTTACGTTGCATTGCTACTTTATGCATCGCGATTAAGTGTAGCTATCTGCTTATAAGGGCCTGGCGCCGGCGAGTAGCCTCAATCCCTTAAAAAAGCAAGGCACATCCCGTGAAATTGAGGGATTTCAAAAGGCGAAAGTTCCATCTTTAAATCCGCGATCATCTCATTGGTCGTTTGCCCTCAGCCATTGGGAGTCTCTCATATTCGGAGGTCAAAGCGAGCCTCTGAAGCCGGCAGTAAACAGGCGACTAATTTCACGGGCTATTAACCACGGCTCGATTGAGCGCTGCTCTCGTGAATTTCCACCGGACGGCGATAAATATCAATACTTCACAGGAGCGAAAAACACAGCACACGGTTCAATAAGGCTATGATAAAATTATTTACGAGTGGCTGCGATAACTTTCCTAATAACCTTGATCAAATAACACAATAAAAATAACATTTGGTCTCATCTGTGAATATTAGAACTGCCAAAATGAAATAAGTAAAGCTTGGTCTGCAACCTGAAAAATAAGCGTAGCTTTCGACTGGAAATTATAATATGAAAACACTATCCGACTTTCGAAATGCATCACATCTCGCAAAAAGTCTACTGAGATCTAAAACACTATTTTCGCACAGGTTGTCTTTGAAAATTCACCATTCGAACACAAAGTTACTCGGAGAAGAAGATACGCCACACTTAAGTGGCCAATCAAAAGAATCCTGGTTGCGGCACCCTATGACGTCTCGACTTATCGTATTGAGCACTAAACGTTTTATAAGTCCACAACCTGCCCCGCTTCCATTTCCGCTATCAGAATCGCAGGTCAGGTCATCGGCCCCTCCTAGCTGGCGCTCGCTCCGTAAGAACATCGTCCTTCCATTTCGACCCGGGACCGGCGGCGCACATAGCGACTTCACCGGCACCGATTGACTCAACAACATTTCCACCTCCGACAGCAATTTGGAAACAAATCAGGGCCTTTCAGTCGGCAGGCGGTCGCTCGGAAAGTGCTGCATACTGAGCGTCTGGGCGCGGGGAGGGTGTGAGCTGGGGCGCCGCTCACTGCCGACACCCGCCCCGGTAACGTAAATCCCTCGGACGGGTCGTCTTACGGCCGGACACCACAAGACGTGGCGGCTAAACAAGGGATTGTCGTATCAGCGGCGCCATCACAGCGCGGACAGCAGCGGGAACGATCGGGATTTCCAGGCCTTGGGCTTTATGGCCGGTTTGTTTTTGTTTTCGTATTTTGTCTTGACTCTGTCATGCCATTTAGGTGTGAACTATCGATAAATTTACTTTTTATATTTTTCGTATAGCTAGACTTATCCGTAATAAATTCGACAGTGTTATCGCCGTCACGACTTTTTTTTTGTATAAAATGCACGAACTCAGCAGCAACGAAGCCCGCTGAACAAAGCCTATCGCTGTCTAAAAATACGCAGTCTATGTCTGAGCTTATATTCTATCTAACACTCAAAACAAAAGCAAAGGGAAAAGCCCCGAGAACACACCCGAGACCATGCCATTTTTTACATTTTTTCATTGATCTGTATATCCCCACACCATCCCCGCCCCTAGACTGACCTCTGCGACCAACCCTACTCGCGCCGCCCCTGCGGCACTGACCTTCATTGAGCTGTTGCTGAAGATGCCACTCCAGCGCGTATGCTGTTTGCTGGTCTTGTTGACCTTCAGGGAGCCCTCAGAGGAACCGGGCGCGGGTCCGTCCCCTGAGGAGGTCTCCTCGGCACTGTTCATCAGCTTGGTCACCATACCGCGGTAACTCTGACGAGAGGACACGGCCGCACGTCAGAGGTTACAGGTCACCCGGGGTCAGGTGACAGGGAAGGTCACAGGAGGCCAAAACGGCAACGGATAGAGGTTAGTACCAAGTGGGTATGTGATATAATATGATAGCTTAGCATGACATCAAAACACTACCCAAATCAACCACTTCTTCCTTTTATCGCTAGAAGATACACACTTTAGATAATAAAAAAGATCCCGAAGACGTCACTAACATGACCTATCTTCATTTAACTTCAATCAGCTGCTGTGAGCGCTACTGTTCCTGTCATTACTGACGTCAAAGTGACAGCATTACTCACCCCTGAGGACTTGCGCGTGGGTGCCGACGAGTGACTGGAGGACGACTTTGACCTCACGGGACTCTTGCTGTCGTGATCACGAACTGTGGAACAAACAAACATTGTCTCAGCATGCAGCAACAAATAAGACTCAAACCAGACAACACTGGATCAAGAGCTAGATGCAGTCGAATGCTGCAATCAATAACAATATTTTACTCAACAGGCACTTCGTTATCGCGGCTAACGAAACAACAAATATAAACACACTCTCTCTCAGACTATTTCTGAAGTTCGGCAAAAGGCACCAGACAGTGTCGAGCACAAACTTCAGAAGTCCGACAAACATGCTGACGAATGACGAAGCGGAAATGGCTCCTACGTTGCAGGGAGAAGAGCATGCCAGCTCTACACAAAAATGGTTATAAGAAGGAACTTTAATTCGCTTTTTGCAGTTTAGAGAAAATGTTCTAAACCAAAGTTTCCCAGACTTTGTTTGAGTACGGATATGAGCAACTTTTCAGCGATCTCAGACGCTGCCCAGTAGACGGGTTACCCTGGCGACGTTCCTGGATCCGCCGCCGTCTGCGATAACTGTTGTCACGCCGCCGGCATGGCAACGACATTGAGACAGCCTACATCAGTATCATGTGCATATTACATAAGACTTTACAGAGGAACGGAAATTTTTTATAGTAAAATAGTACATCAGTTGGGTCTCATGTCACTCAAAATCTGATAGACTAAACGAAATTACAAATGCAGTCGGCATTTAGCATAGGCACAAAACACGACAAACACAATGCCCTATACCTACTTCCATCGCCGTTCACCCCTCCGGCCGCCGTTCCCGTGGTCCTGCCACCGTTTCAGTCCCTCACCTTTGATGCGCAGGTGTTTTCCGCCGAGCCAGTAGGTCTCTGTGGTGAGCAGCGGCAGCGGCGTGCGCCCGTTCTCCAGGTACACGCTAATCGAGTCGATGTCGATCCGATGCTGCTCACACACCTGGCTCAGCGCCTCCCTGAGAACACCGCCGGCGCGGTCAGAGGCGCCACCGCCACCCAGACGTTTGGAGAAGCGGCAGGCGAAAATAGACCGGTCCTCATATTTCTGGCGCAGGGATCCGCATGTAAGCTGTTACTGGACAGGCTATATTCGAACGATGCTGCGCAGTTGTGTGCGTTTGATAGCACGCCTTTTGAAACGTGTGTTGCACAGAGAGTGGATTAATCCAATTGGCTTATTACTAAGTGCAGCAATAGTAACAGTGAATTGAGCGTAGAGGATATTTTGCATAATCGGACACCCAACAATGTCGAACGTTACAACATGCATTCATCGACTCTAAACCCATGATCAACGTGCTGATGTTTGTCAAACTTTCCATTCATTACAATTCCGTAACATTAGAAATGCATTAGCAGAAGTAACATTATTTACGAGTGTCATATTTCCAAAGACGGACCATAAAGGAAGCATCATAAAATCAATCTATATAACTGCTGGTAAGTTACGAGCCATCAATTTGGAGAGCATTTCGGGGCTGCCGGGTTCCCGCGCCGGCCCAAACGGGCCTCGAGACAATACTGAGCACGGCCATTATAGACACTGGCACAGCGAACAGTCAAACATCAATAATCGAAGGGCTTTTTCAGAAGCACCCCGCTCGGAGCCCGCAGAGCTCAGCCGGAGTCGAAAACCAGGGGGAACACATTCAAGGAACAGGTAATTGTGAGCCACGCAGAAGAAGATGTAGTGTAAGGGAGGATAAAATGAAAAGGTAAAAGGTAGACGAATAAAAATGAATACAACAGATAGAAAAATGAAGAAAGAGCCGTTAACTCATGATCGGTTCAGCGCTAGACATTATTTTCACCGTGGCTGGCCCAAGTGTACCACGGTACTGCGCAGCGGCGGCTGTTTCCAGCTCGTTCGTCACCGTTCAGCAATTTTTCAGTGTGCACCTGGCACCAGCGCGGCCCCATTTCAGCACCAACCATTAACTGTCGCCCGACATTATCAACAAAAGGACTCGCGCGGCGTCGTGTTTGAGCGGCCAGCGCGGCCACTCCCGACAATTCTATTTGGTGCCGCCAACACGGACCGTGACGCTGATACTGAAGTTAGCTGTCGCGCGCGCCGCTTCTCCACACAACTCACCTGAGGACAGTGCCTTTGACGGCAGAGACGAACTCTTCGGGAACCTCTTCCGACGAGTTGATGTCGAAGCTGACGCTGAAGCACTCCGAACTGACCACCTGAGTGACAGAAGAGACGACCGTCACATCTATAGACGAGGGTAACGTGACACAGAGAGGGGAAATTTATATCTCCAGCCAGTGCGCACAGGTCCACTCAGCGAGCCACCCGACAACACTGTCCATTTGCACAAATGATAGCCACATCAGCGCCAGTCGCACGTTTCGAAGCTGGATAAAAACAGCGTGAGCTGCAATGTTACATCATAACTAGCTGCTGTGAGATCAATGAGCGGCCACATCTGTGTGAGTCATAGCGAGGCGACGGGACAGTGACGCTGTGATGTGACACAGAGCAAGGTGCTACCGAGCATAACAGAACAACGGAGTAATTAGGGCAAACACGATTCATTACGAAACACCGTTGTCCACTTGGAGATTACACGAGTGAGGAAAGTCGGCCGATATTAGGCGTGAAGTATAGCTGCTCAGCGTTCGCGTTTCAAACTCAACTAGCACATTCAGTTTATTGTTAGCCGACACAACGGAGCGACGACTAAAAATCAACACAGCCTTGGTTGCTTTCTCATCATACCCTCTCCGTCCCATACCGAGCTCTCAAACCAGCTACCCTTACGAGGTTCCACAATTGGCTGGCCCTCATACACCACCGCTTTACCGCCCACAACTCTCTTCCCGCCACTAGCCCACCTCCCGCCTCATTCCCGCGCTTCTTATGACCGTTACCATCTCCCTCAGCACTCACAAGCCGCCACCCGGACAGTGTCAGTCCTCAGTCACTCTCCATCAGTCCTCAGTCCCTCTCCATCAGTCCTCAGTCACTCTCCATCAGTCCTCAGTCCCTCTCCATCAGTCCTCAGTCACTCTCCATAGATAGCGCCGCCGAGTGTCGAGCCACGGCCACCTGTCTGAGATCAGAGCAGCAGCCCGGCGACATCTGGCCGCTGGGTGGGGCTCATGACGAGCCCCAGGTCGGCCATAAAACCGCGCCCGAAACAGACGCCGACCGGCCGGCGGCGGCGTTTATGGGGCGCGTCAGGTCCCCGAGAGGCTGGCGCGGCGCCGGCCAGTCATTCCGAGTCAATTCGAGGCAGCAGGTCGCCGCTGCAAGGCTGGGATCGCGCCGTCAATCTCCGACAAACGCAGGGTGAGCGGGTCCCCGTTCAGGTAATATGCCATCGCTCGCGCGCGGCCACTCTCGGCGGCAGATTTATACCGCATCGGGACCGCGACGAAATCGAGACCGTGATTGGAGGCGATTTAATCGGAACAAGAAGCAGCATCTCATGCTCGGCAATCTCCGTTTACGTGTACAATTTAAGGACATAAGCAATAAACATCCTCGGGCAAGTCACAGCTCTGAAATATTGAGAAGCGCAGCAGACATCACCAATGCCCCCAAAACGCAAGTATTTTCTTTTTCACTCAGTTCCACACTGTGCCCAGGAAAATTCATCTTTTGTCATTTTATATCATCATATTCATCGACCTTCGGTCTGAGCATGTAGTCGGTCTAGTGCCGAGCTCTCGCATCCATTGCGTCTAGATGCCACATTTTCAGGTGCGGCACTCCGCGGTCCATCACTGATGTCTCTGACCATCTCACCCGTCCCTCAGTGGTCGTTTGCAGTGTATGACACGCTTTTGGCGGAGATCAGAGTACGGTAGCGGAGGCGGAGAGGCGGCGGATGAGGCGGGAGCCGAGGCGGCGGCGGGAGTCCGAGTCTGAGTCTGAGTCAGAGCAGGCGGCGGAGTCGGAGTCGGGGGTGGAGGCGGAGGTATTCCGCCACGGTGCGATGATTACACTCCATCGTCAGGAGAAGATGGCGGCTCTGCGCCCCTGTCCTCTCGTAATGATGGCTCTCAAAGGCGGTAAAAAGGCAGCTGCCACCCATAATGCTAGTCCTTACGGAGAAGGGTCTGTTCTTGGAAGGCTGCGGCTCGACGATGAAAAAAGAAGAATGATAATGCGGTAGAAATCAAGAAAAAAAACACAGAGAAAAAAACGCCGTACATCGTTATTGGCCAATACCTAAAATAATGCATCAGGAAAGACACGAAGATCATTTATCTTGACCTGAAAGTGCTAAATAAATACCATGCCGGTTTCTCTATAAAAATCTTGTCGAGCTAAGTAATCTTTTAAAGCAATGCTAAATAAATTCAGTGATTGCAGACCCTTGGCAACCAATCAGTCATCAACAGAAGCCCTAAAATCAAACAAAACGCTCAGCTCGAGCCACCGTTTTGAACAGGCCCCAGCAACGCAGCGGCCCATTGACGGTGCGACCAGTTTCAAGCCAATATCCCAGAAAACAGAGCTAGAGCTAGAGCATGTGAAACCAAGTGGCGTACGACAATATTCCCCTTGACGACACGCCTGTGCCGCCGACAGCAGTTGGAGCGTCGGCGGCCGTGCCACGTATTGCACATCTGCCGATAGCTCTGCCGTCCCACACCTGCGGTTCAGTCAGCTGAATCGGGTCGTTTCTGAGGTGTTCGAGGCGCTCAAACGGCCGTGTTTGTGCCGCTCAAACGGCGACAATCGCAGCGCTTCTGAGGCCTTCGCGGCGCGTCGTCTAGCGCCAGAGCGAGCCCAAAGGAGTCCAATTTCAGCGGCCGGGTCGGCTCGTTCAGGTAACCAGACCCCAGTCGCGGACGGAGATTTCTGTCGTTCGTTTGGAGCCTGTCACCTGCAGCCGTCAACTTGCTCCTCTTTCCTATCCAATCCCAGCCACTTCAGCGGAAACAGGTCTCCGCGGTCGGCGCGCGACGCTCTTCAGTGACGGGGGCGGGCCGTGTGGTAGCGGAGAGTCGCTAAAATATGGCGGTCTTGAGGCGTAAACAGGCCTCTCGGAAGCGCTATGAATATAGATGGAGATGGCGTCCGTCCTCCCGTCGGACGGGAGAGCTGGATGGCCGAGAATGGCCGGGAGCCGGGGCCGGCCGACCGGCCGCCGCCGCGGGCCACATTGATCTGCATTGGCCATACCGTATGATTGATTACCACCGCGATGGGGTGCTTTGTATTCAAAATGAAAAGACGTAAATGCGCGCTGATTCGTGCATAAAAGATCTTATTTAGGAAAGAAACTCATCTACGTTTATGTAACCATTAAATACATGAACGTAATGAAAACAGAAATCAGAAGACCCACACTACACATTTTTGCAAATGAGTATTGATACAAACATCCGATAAGTACTTTTCACTAACGGTAATTTAGTAGGCATTAGGCAAGTGCATTAGGCAAGTGCATAATTACGCTAAAAAATCACTAAGATCATAAATATCCTAGCCAGCCCCCCAAAAAGGAAAAACGACACAAAACATTGTCTATTCCCCGATGGCGCCCCGTCGACATTGCCGCCTCCATCCGACCTCAGCATAGGTCATCAGACCCGGCACCGCGGCACGGCAAGCCGAAACGAGCCGGTAGCGGGGTGCAATGGGCGCCTCTCGTGATAGACCGCCACTGATTACTCACCGGCTCAGCACAGGACGCGCCGCTCCGCCGCCGAAAGGCCGCCTCGTGTGTCCGACCCTCACGTGTCCGTCACGTGCGCCGTGACGTCACGTCACTGACTGTAACGTCACAACCCTTGCAGCCGTCGTGATCACTTCGAGTCATTCTTGATAGCCTTTTATGGGAGATGGAATTAATTGTTTTAAGATTTCCCATTTTTTTCGATCTCGGCTGGTCGTTTTCCCACGCTAATTTGCATCGGTTTTTCGTAGACAATTTCTTTTCGCTCACATCCAGTGTCTTCAATTTTCCCTCAAATTAAGATCCCGCCGGATTTCTCCGTCCCGTTAATTCCCGTCCTCTCCCTGATCTCCCCCTATCCCACCGTCCAGCAGTCTCATCGACCAGGTGGACGCGCTCTCTAATTCTGGAGCGGTGCCCAGAGCCGCTGACGAACCGCCGAGGACGGTGTCTGCCTAGCCTTCCCTCCACTCCCCTCCCTCCCCTCCCCCTGGGGTCGGTCAGCAGGCTGATGACCCGTCGGATCAGGGAGCCCAGCTCGGAATGAAATGCCGCGATGGGGTAATGGATATGTCGATTACCGATTGTCAGCTAGCCATTTGGAACATTGCGACGGCTAGTAGGTTTGCTGTCTGTTTAGAGCGAGCAAATGGCATGTACAGAGCACCAACATCAATTAGATTTATACCTGACCGCCTAGACGACGGTAAAACTCGTGCAGGTCTTTAAAGAACCAGTTTAAATGAATTTACATTAGTGATCGACATCTAAATTGATAAGCGGGAGTAAAGAAAAAACGTAACCCCTACCTCATTCTGACTTTTGCTCCCCGATCCCTCTTGCCACCCCCCATCGGCCATCCTGCCCTCAGGTGACCTCGGTTGTCCGGTCGATATCTCACACCAGCACTCTCCTTATTGTGAGCGATACCTCCCACTAGCACTCACCTTATTGTGGGCGGCCAGCTTCTTCCTGCGCATGCCGCCGCTCTCGTGCAGCCGACCGGGGGTGTCCGGCTCTGACAGCCGGTCACCGTCCTCCTGGTGCACCAGCATCGCCGGGTCGAGCGTGTCGATATGCGTCAGACTGCGCGACCGGCCCTGCTGGGGAGGAAGAATTACAGGGGTCAGATTTTGGGGGACGGTGAGAGGGAGATTGCTGTTGGGGAGGTGAAGAGAGGACGAGAGTAAAGATGGGAAGAGGAGGAAATGACAGAGAAGAGAAAAAGATCATCTAGGTGGAGTTACGTTCAGTTTTCCTCACTTTAACAAGTGGGGAAATGTTCATCGAATTACGTGAGCTTAGTCATATAGCACATTAAGATCTGCTGCTATTGCTGCAGATGCTATACATTACAATTATAACGGGCAATAACAATTACATGGGTTCATTATTAACAGACACCGTAAACATAATTAAGGTAAGGCATCGGTGCAATAGCGATAAAAGCATTCAACATAGTTCCGCTAAGTCCAGGAAGCAAGTTAAATGCCAGAAACATACAAAGTTCAACGTAAACACTGCCCAAGGGAAACGGTAAATCGTTCAGTCACGCGACGTACTACTTCAATCATCTACTCCCAGGCCTAATAATACGGACATTAACGCAGCTGTTGGAAGGGCCCGCGACCATTTCGCCCACGCCATCACAGCTACGTCATCGACTATCTGCTGTGTCATCGCTGTATCATCCCACACTGACCAGCGCATGGCTTCCCGGTACGAGTGCGTATACCGCGGCATATTACCGTCGGCCCGACACTTTGTCAACAGGCGCACCAATCGGCCGACTTAGGCACCGCTGGCTAACCAAACACCCAGTCGGCCGGCCGTATTATTAGCGCCGACAGATGGGCGGCGCACCCCCAGCGCGTGCGGTGCAATAATCGTCACCGTGACCCGCGCGCCGTCGATGTCGACGATATGGTGTCACCACTCGTCGGAGTCGACGCGCGCCGGCGGTATGGGGCGAGGCGGGCGAGGAATGGGAGCAGCACGCTCTAGACGCGCCAGCGGGGTGGAACGAACGCTTCCGAGTCGCCGTCGAACGGGGTTAGGGGGCCGGCGCTCAGCTCTCCCGGCGGGAGACCGCGAGCAGTGTTCTGCAGCGCACTGAAGGAGAGATTATAAAAGTGCAGCTAAGTGGGGTTGTCGCATTGAAACCAGATAAATAGCAGCATAGGCTACTGTATTACATTAACTATTGCATTATGTAGAGTATGATAGCAGAGGTAGCAGAGGTAGCCTATGATAGCAGAGGTACGTTTTTAAGCGGGTGTTAAAAAAAACTCAAAAGACAATAATTCAGCACCGTCCTATAGCAAACGCAGACAGAATTATTGCTGTAACAAATACCTGTAACATATAACGTATATACAGTTTAACAAGCCACTTTGTATTGGTTCAATAGAGCCGTTTATATGCACCCGCTAAGGCACATTTATTATCTGTAAGCAAACTATCCACCTAAATCGGGGCGCACTTTATCACAACAGCGCCAAAGGTGCAAATGACAGTTTGACTAAGTGCTTGTTGACGGCCAGAGTTTCGAAGCTGTGCAGTTCCTCTAAAACATAGCATATGAGACGTGGCTTTCTCGCCGCTTGCTTTCGCCAGCACTGTATCGCGATTTATGAACGCTACATTTTTTATCTTCATGTGTCATTTTTCTCCTTGTTAAAAAACGTTTATAAGCTCCTGAAAATAGAAAAACAACAACCCAGTAGTGGTACTGCTAGCAATAACAAGCTGCCTCATTTTTATCATCCTTAACTAGAAAGAGCTATATTCAATTCCAACCAAATCAAAAGAGGCATATATATTCTCATGACCGAGTCTTGACACCAATATCGTTCCGAGAAAGTCGCTGCATTCATTGCGTTGAGTTGATATTTATTCCTACCACGAGTTGACTCCTTGACATCTTTATTCCAGCGCCATTTTAAGTTTCCTGAAACGAATAGCTGACGGTATGACTGCGAATATTCTAGGCTGATAGCTGAATTCTACATTTGCTGAATCACCAATCAAATCCAAATTGCCAACTCGTTTGGGCCCAATCTCATTATTTACTTTGATTTGCTGATCACGACGTAACTTTCTGCAAACATATTCAGACCTGCTTTGAATAAATGCAAGAATTCCGCAACCGTCTAGAGCCGAGACTTTCAAAAGTCTCTCAGCAGGGCGGCCGCCCAGCTCTCAAAAGGCAGAGCGGTGCCGTGATGGGTCCATTCTGTGCCACGTCAGCCCCCAACAGATGGACGCGGGAAAATAGCGCGCCAGCTCCGCCCGCCTCCCCCGACGGACACGGTTTAAGCGAATAGTCTGGTATGAGAACGCAGACCGACGTCACTGAAGAATGAGCGACGAGAAAAATACCGACCAGACTCGAGAAAAAATGGGAAAAGAGCACGTCCTTGTCGCAATAAATCCTTCCACGTACTTCGACAAAATAATTATATAAAATATAAAGGTGTCCGCCGGATATGAATTGATGAAAGCCAAAGGCATAAGAAAAGGAGAGAACTTCTTTGCGTAAATAATACATCTTTGTCCCATCCCATTTTCGACATTTTCCGGCGACTATTTGAAATTGAGATGCGATCACCCTTGACATTCAATCCACATCGCTGCTGCGGCGAAAGCCGATATCACCTATAAACGGATTTAGCCGTTAAACGGATTTTCTCCATCATTGCGCCTTTTATGAGCGAGATATTTCCCGAGTCATCTCTCGGGTCTAGGCCAAAACACTTTCCCGACCAGCCGCGCATTTTCTTTTTTTGTGAAATGTAGTTAAGTTGCATCTAGCTATCATTAAATCGTATCACGAATTATATCATCTACACATTCATGATATGAAGAATACAATATCTGAGATAGCAAACCAATTCAACCACAAGCGTAACTGCAGCGCATTTTGTTGGCAAACTGGGGCAGGACGGATTTCGGCACTACATTTCGTCGTGTGACTACTTCATCCCTCCGCGCTAGAAATCCACTTACTTCAACATCGACCAGCAGGTTGGGGGTCTGAAACATCCTGCCCGTCCACAGCATGAGCGAGTCGATCTTGAAGGAGGTGTCGCCACAGCAGCTGCTGTTGGCGGACGAGCCGCGCCGGCTCTCGGGTCGGGCGGCGCTGCTCTTCCGCTTCCTGCCGTCACTGCCCTCCTTCACACTGGGCCGCCGCATGGCCGCCTCCGTCACCGTCAGGATGTTGCTGTCCGACCCGGTGGACCCGCACCTCCTCTGCCTACTGCCCGGCACCGCGGCCGCGTCCACCTGCAGCAGGTCGGCCGTCGGCGGCCGACGCGGCGTCCGCGAGCCCTCCGAGTGTTTCTTGGCCGGCTTTTCGGAGTTGCTGCCGGCCGATGTTTTGCGCCGGCACCCCCACGAGAGGGTGCGGCGGTGAGCGAACTCGGCAAACATCTCCATAGGGGAGCGCGCGCGCGGCTGGCGTTCAGAGCTGGCGGGGCGGCCGACGGCGGCGACACGAGCGACCCGAGCCCGCCGGCGACATCGCGACCCGCCGGCACCGACTGAGCGCCGGGACCGACGGCCGTCGGCGGCGCGCACACGGGCCGCGCGCCATCGATCAGGGAGGGACGGGGACCAACAGACACCTCTGAGGGACCAGCAGACACCTCCGAGGGGACCAGAAGACACCTCTGAGGGGACCGTCAGACACCTCTGAGGGGACCAGAAGACACAATGGAGGGTCCACCGAAGGCAAAATTTTGCGCAACTAGATCTTCGGACAGAATAGAGGAAAACCAAACATATTTCTTGGGACCGTCAAATACTCGGAGATTATCAGACGCTCCTTTTGGAAAACATGTATCTCTGTATTAAATACTGGCCCAGCTATATCAGCTAACAGCCAAGAAGTCGGACGACCCTGCACCCCAGCCGTTCCTGCCGTCCGTAGGATAGCCACTGGCCGGAGTGTCACTGGCGAACTAGCTAGCTCCATCCTTCCACTGCTGGCTGGTGCACAACACCGCCACGATAATCACTGCTGGCTGCTGCGTGCCATGAGTCTCCCTCGAGTCCCGTCCTGGCGCTCCTGGGCCGCTGGCAACAGAAGGTCTGTTCCAGGTCGCCCCAGAGGGCTATCAGGCGGCGGCCGTCGCACGCTCTGTCTCGAGGGAGGGCCAGATGGGCGGCGGCCAGCACCACGCGCCAATACGCGTCCTGTCAGATCAATCTAGCGAAGACGGAACAGGCGCCGCGCGGTACTGAGAAGCCGCAGGGTCGCGGTGCGGCGCGGCGGCTGGTCGGGCGGCCCGCGTGCAGTGCGGAACAGTCTACCCCGTCAGGCGTACGACTCGTAGTGACATCTAGCGACTACTTCTGGAACTAATTGAATGCTCTCCAGTGCCGAAGTCCGGTTCAGCTAGACTTTCTCTCTTCCTCGAATGAGTTCGGATGATATACCGTGGTACTGCTAAGTTCGTTCTATATTGTGCTTTTATAAGCAAACCCAACGGAAATGACGCCATAACTTTGTACGGCGAAGCCAAATATTCAGTTTTACGAGAATAAACAGAGCGATATCACATCAATCAGGAGGCGTGGTGTTTGTCATTATTGCTTCTGGACACAAAGAACCTAATAAAAGTCTGCCATATAGCCTTCACAAAATCATGACAATACCATCGTTAAACAACTGAAATCAATTGTTGAACTGGACTATGAAGGACTACAATACCACTTAGAATACCATTGCGTCGTTGTCATGGCATCTGTGACATTGCACTGGCAATCAGTTACTTACGGTTTAACAGGGTTACGTAGTGATTGCAGTGATTGTAGCATGATAGAACCCAGCAATAAAGTAAGGCGAATCAGGCCAAGACCGCTACAGAGAATGGACGCTGACTGCATACCACCAGTTTCCTAACCAGCCGTTTCATTCTCATAAAATACAAACCGACTACTTGTCGCATAAATCGCCACAAAAACCATCATACCCAAATCGAACTATCAAAGTTCTTCCTCGGATAAATTTAGCCTCCAACCAACTTCCTAGCATGAAATAATGCGGTCGGAATGGCCTCAGTGAGTCTGTGGCCGATTTCCATCCATTTTCGGAGCTCTGACTCAGTGAGCCGGAGCGGCTCGGCCCGGTCTGCCCTCCACAAAGGGAGGGTGACGTCGGGGGTCCAGACGGCCGTCTGATCGGTCCACAGACGCAGGTCTGGACGCAGAGGTCTGATATTACCAGACTGTGGCAGCAAAATAAGGCAAGGATGTAAAATCGGCAAGGATGTTAGATCAAGATCGGCGAAATACAGACGGTTACTGGTCGCAAGCTCAATGGTGTGCTTTACTAGACTTCCAATTACCGATTAGCTAAGGTGTTGCGGAATTTTGATGTCTAGTCGAGATCTGGTTTTCTTACGATCCATGATTATATGTAGGTATATTGTTGGTTGAGCAATGAGCATATCACTTTCGCAAACCATTGCCACCAAGCTTTAAATTACTCTAAGGTAGCATGTGACTGTGTAAATAGGTACCAAAATATCACGCATTTCTTGCGAAACCGGCTATGGCCTGCATTCCGTCCGGAAAATTTTCCCCGCCGAGCCGCAGGGCTCTGCGCTCTGTCACTTCAGTAATCGGCCGGCCGGCCCGCGGCGGGCCGCTCGGCCGCTCGGCAGCTCAGTACAGAGCACGGCCGGCCAGCCGAGATTAGCGGTTCAGCCGGTCCAGGCCGTGATGAGACGGCCGGCGCAGCAAACAGCCGCGAGCGGTGCCGGGTCGGCACGGACGGCAATCACCGCGCCGCCGCCGGGTGCCGGGTGCTGTGCTGTACAGCAGGGTACTGCGGCTGAGGTACATACCTCCGGCGAGAGCGGTACAGAGCTTTGTGGGGTACCAGTTCCCAGCTGGACCACCACGCAAAGAGAAACAGCCAGTCTACGTTAACGAACCGCGCTGTCGCGGGCCCAGAGAAGCGCCGATCAATAACGGGAGGTCTCCGCCGCGCGGGCTGTTTTGAACACGCCCAGCCGAACGCCAGTGTCAGCGTTTCCTCGATCGGTCAGGCCTATCAATTTTCGTCGCGTTCGGGGGACGGAGCGGCGCGCCGTGCTGTTTGCTGCTGTCCACGGCTCGGCGGGCAGTGTCGACCACGGCAAACGTGGCGCAGTGAATCGACCCCGCGGCCGGCCGGCCGATCGTGAATTACGGCTGTTTTCGGCGCCCCGCAGGGCAGCCGGGCCGTCTGTGTATCCCCACAGCGGTGTCGTCAGGACAGTGATAGTGGCGACCAGAATACCTACACACGGCCAGCTATATTGCGACTATCTGCGACGGGTTTTTAGACCGGTGTCGTAAATCGCGAATCCTTGGAAAGATGAGCGCGTATGAGCTGTCAACAAATATCGCCATATGTGCGCCGGTGATAGGTAGAAAGCACGACCTCATTAGTTGCACAAGGCAACAGGCGGGACACAACCGTCATTGCCAGGGAATGCAATACAGTTGGACCAAACACGTGTGTCACCAACAGATAATGCTGGTTGATCGGCATTGAGCTAGAAACCAGCCGAGTCAACAGCGCAAATGGTGAGCCCGATTACACCGAACTTATGGCAAAGCGGGTCAAGGGTCACAGCAGACATTTTATGGGACATGCTAATGCTCATTACTTTGAATTCGCTCCATGACACAGCAATAAATCCAATCATGAATAAAACGACTTCTATCAAATGGCTTTGGCACTTATGTGGCCTTTTGTTCCGTTCTAAATAAATGAAAAAAGATGAAGATCTTGAAAAAGAAAGAAAGTAAGTCCAAGACGGCCCTGACGACAGGAGTGTCCGTATCAATTTAATATGAAATGAACATCGCATAATAGCCATCATTGTCAAGTCGGCAAGCCACGCCGTATCAGCCCGTCTTTTCTGCTATCCATACTCCATAGCAGCTGACAAGAGTCATAAATCCACAAGCATTTGGTGCACCTAATTGCCCCTGTTGCGATCCCCCCCCCCCCCCCACGACTGTCACTGTTAGTCGGCAGCCCCAGAATGCAGCGCCGGGCAGTTGTCAGGACATCGGCCGAGCTCGAGTGACAGGTCAATCACGGCCACTGGCCACAGTGACAGCTGTGATTCGGTCATCAGTACACGACACACGGGGGGCCGCAAACACGGTTGGGGACGCCCACGACCGGCTCAGTGTGCACGGGACGTCGGCGGTGACCTCACCGTGACCTTGGGATGGTTAAGGACGTCACAGTCCGACGATGGGTCGTGGAGACATATTGTGACCCATCTCTTTGCTCACCGTTATGACTTATGATACGATACTGTGTTGTGATGAGCATGATCTTATTCATTAATTCATTAAGCATATAAAAGGTATTGCGCACCAGCACAAGCCTTTCGATAATGTCTGTGCACTTCAGCGTATTTCAGCGACAGGCACAGCATAAAGACGTCGTAAAATCAGTAAATCCTCCTTTAATCGCAGGGTTAACTTCTACTTTGTCAACTAAATACCTATGTGTTTAAACTCTTCAACCAGTGAGGGTGACGGTGCTTTTGGCGAGTCAATCTCGTTAGAAATGGACAAGCAAAGAAGTAATGAGACCGCGTTCTGGAGCCGCTCCTCGTCTTTAAACACAATTTCGTCAAGTGTTTCCCACTCTGGGCAGCGTAATTGCAAGTCTGATTAAGATTCTGCGTGGAGGAAGCCGCGAGATTGTGCCCTGATTGAGTGCGTCTGTCGCCTTAATGGCACACGTTCCACTGGGTTGATAAATTTGACTGCCCAGCATCCTCGCAAATTCGGTTATCCCGTAAATGAAAATATAACGTCAGTATTTGTACCGTCGAGTACAAAATAAAAATAAACACGAGTACATTCTGGAGCGAAAACGGAATGCTGGCAATCCAGCTGGCAGCTACTTACATCCTTCTTTTGTCTGTAGCAGGCCTTCCTTCGCGTGAGCTTGTTCCTCTTTTTCTCCTTCCGGACCTCTCTGAAAACAAAAACAAAATGACATAATGAGCGCGCTCTGATATAAGCTCCTTTAAGTATAACAAAATGAATATTAAATTGAGTTTGTTAAATTCAAATCATATAGACAAAAAGTAAAATATGACAAACGAAGGACTAATTATCGCAATTTCGTTGCCAGAGATACACACTACAGATAGTAATTTTGTGACTTTTGTTTATAAGGGTCACACGCCACCTAAATCATAACACATATCAGCAAAGCTCGTTGGTAATCATTAGTTGCTTTTGAAGCATGATCGATTACTCTATGGGTGGAACTCATTTGTAAATTTTCGTTACATGCCTGACAAAACAGCTGACCCACACGCGTCGCTATGGTTCATTTCAGACCACATTGACACACCATATCCGTCCACATCGACATCATAATGCGACGTGGCCTTCAATACCGATGTCGGCACTAATTTATGCAGGTGGGCGGTGGCCTGTGCCGGGGGCTGCGGGCCCGCCGATAGAGGTCGGATCACACCGTCCGGAATCCGCGGAACGGCCGCCGGTTCGCACAATATCCGGCGGCCCGGACCAGCCGGAAGGTCACGTGACCGGCCGCCGGCATGCCGGGCCCACGTGACCGGGCCATGGGCAGATGATAGGAGCGGGGTGGCGCGGGATGTGGGACCACGTGATCGCGTGGATGGTAAGGGTGATAGAGATGGCAGGGGCGGGAGACGATGGGTATCAGGAGTGGAAAGTTAGCGTAGTGTTGCACTTATGAAGTGTGACATTAGGCTTCATGTGGCAAGAAGTCAATGAGATGGCGTTACGTGCCATTCCACACACAATCGTGTTTTTCTGTCCTTCGTAGATCTGTGTTGAGCAATCATGCAACAAGCCTCTACCACGCCCCTCCAGGTCCCCATCGACCCATCCCCTGGTCACTTACAGTCGTGAGTCATCCTTGTCTCTCGGAGGCTGCGCTGCGTCGTCCTCGATATCCGAAATACAGTCGATCTGAGCCGGCAGAGAGTACGTGCTGCTCGCGATCTTCTGGTGGGCCAAACCTGGGGAGAAGAACGACGAATGGTCAGACATCTCGGAGATATATGGGCTGAGCGCAGCAGTGAGAAAAGCATGAGAACAACAGAGCAGTTAACAAATGGCCATGACTTTGATGTCTTCGACACGTAGCAGTGACTTAACAATTAGTTCAATCAAGAGAGATAAAAGATCAAGGCATATCAGGTTATCGCCAGCTGTACATCTGGCTCGCTGGCTCTGCGCTCACTGGCCGTGCCACCGCACAGGTAGCGCCACCTAAGGCAGAAACGAGTGCTAGGGTTTCGTAAAACGGCCGCTAGGGGCAGCACCTGCACCTCGCATCATTTTGCCCGATCAGTGTTGAATAAAGCAAGAAACTATCCGTAAAACGTCGATAGCTGGTGCTTCCCTTCTTCTAATCGTAGGCAGCGGTAAAAATGCCAACAAATATCCCGGCAGTTGCTGGGGTATTTCGCCACCCACCGTTTGCTGGGGGGGGGGGGGGCGTTAAACGCCCCCAGCCGATAACTCGAGAACCAATAGGCGCAGCGAAACGCACGAGGCGGCAAACGAAAGAGCGCGACGAGACGCTTCAGATGAGTACTTTAAAGTTGAATTTTGAGGTCACAGGTCGGGTCAAGGTCAGGTCAAACACCTGAAATCGGGCTTTCAGTAGCATGGACTTCAGGACTTCGCAATGGGCGCCTCTCGCCATAAACTCTGTCAAAACGGTGCACAATCCATCTTATAAGGCCTACGAGAGTGTCAGCTCCATGTAGGGGTCAGTCAAGCATAGGTCAGGGTCAAGGTCAGGTCAACCGGGTAGGCACATATCCCCGAAAATCAAAACTGATATTCGCAGCCTGTGACACATGTTTTATATGTAATTTGGGGCGTAGAACACGATGGTGACATTCATTTTATCATATGTGTACGTGATTGGCTCAAAAATTTCAATTTAAGAAATGCATGTATCATGGTCGTGAAGTAGTCACGAGAAATTGCCAAGATTCAGTTCAAGATTATGGATAATGCGGAACGATAATCAATAATCGAAGATAGCCATTTGATTGATCATGGTATTGGCAGTCTAATGGAGTTTACGGCATGTCTGTATGTCTATTCTGTGATTTTATATGATTTTTTGAACATATGCCGTTTTTGGTCGAAAACTCAGAAATCATGACGTCACTAAAACCTCGATATCTCAAAAATTTTCCAACCGATTTTTTTGAAACTTTGTCACAATAAACTTCAATCAATTCCCTACAGGTACCCAAAATTTGGCGCGCCTGCGGCGCGCCGTTTTTATGCTATGGCCCGGCGAAAAAAAGTGGGGGCGTTTAACGCCCCCCCCCCCCAGCAACTCGCGGGATATAGCGAGCCAACTTTTCCGTTTTCGACTAGGGGTTAAATCCAAGTCCGAAACAATGGCAAGGCCCGCACGCGTGCGGTGACTGCAATCGCCACAGCGAATGCATGTCATGTGCAGGTAAGCTATTAACCATCACCATCTTCATACCCAGGCCTCTCCTCCCTGAGCTGCGCCGATTCAAAATGCTCGCCGGCACTACTAACAACACTGCTCTACCTGCACGGCACCCACGAGCCAGCACATAACCATTAACCAGCCACCAGACAACCGTGTGTGACTTTGCGCCAGTCACCCGTCTGTCACGTCAGCGAGTCACCCGTCTGTCATAGAGTGATTCATCCCACTGTCATTTCGTGAGTCACCATCGGGCGTCGCTCAGCCGGCTAGTCCTGGGCTGTTGCAGCTACCGTAGATATTCAATACGGTCCTTAGGTCTGAATAACTGCTTTTTCTAGATTATTTTTGGTTAATCGTAGGAGTCTTGCAGCAGCTAAACGTCTGCGAATATGTGTCTTAAGATTGTTTTGTGATGGGTTAACATCATTTTGTCCCTATGACCCCACACACTGGCGTGACATTAACATGAGGAAGGGACCGTACGGGGTAAGAACCCGGCACGAGCAGCCGCCCGGCACATGGTCGGCCAAATGACCCCCAGACCACCGGACCTGACGACCGACCTGTCCGAGCCGTCAGTCATTAGACGAGCTGTAATGGGGCCTGGTTAGGCGGCGCACTGCCGCGGGCGCCGCCCGGTCAGGTCAGGTCGGGGGAGGGGCGGGGGGGGGGGGGAGCGGGGGGAGCGGGGAAGGGGGGTCGGTTGCCGAGGCACGGGCGCAATGGCCAATGAGTTGACACGGCGGCAGCTCGGTCACTATTTGCCGCCGGCCAGGCCACACAGTGACACAGTGGAGCAGGTCAGAGAGGCTGGGCGGCACCGTGTCGCCATGGTAACAGGTGACTGTTTCCGCCCGGTAATATACTCCATAATGAGCCTCAGTTTCCGATACAAAGGAATCACCGTGCAAGGAAAGGAATCTGCGGTGATGGGTGAAACTGAACAGCGGGATTCAGTCAAAATTGGTAACCGTCGGCAAGCAGGTACCAACCGAAAGAACCGGTTAACATCATTGACGTTCTAATCGGACCATTTGCATAAATTGCGCATGTATATGCCTCCAAACAAAAACTTACGGTAACTTTTAAACAACTTATCGAAATCAATTCTTATACAAAAAACAGCTTCTAAACTTTTGCTCTCGACCAAGATTATTGAGCGTTTCCAGAGATGATTGGATGTGAGCCCACCGACGTAATTCCACCTATATTGACGTGCTCTACGCCGTACAAAGGTCATCACACAGAGAACCCGATCAAATATCATTTACCGAGACATTCGTTAGAGGCAGCTCCAGCGACTTATTAGGATTTCCTTTCGTTCGGGGTCAGAACCTAATGATTGGGCCAGTTCCAAGAATTGGAGCATATGTTACCATGAGACAATAGTCTACATCGAAGAACGTCAAGAGAAATACGGTAAGGGATTATTCATTGATATCACGTAACACGAATGCCGAGAAATGCCAACTGCACAAGTCAATTGCCAGTTGTCACCCTAGACGGTACGATCTTATGTAATAGCAGATACTGCACACTACAATGACGGTCGACTCATTCCTTCAAAATATGTATGATGACTGCATATCCAAACCCTACGTACGCACGCATATCTGTACATTCATGGACGTATGCAATAGGCATGCGATATGCATGCATGTATTTATTATATCGCCCAGAACTGCGTCCATCAAAAATGATAAACCGAATGACTTAAGCGTTGGCTCACACTCCCAACTAACAAATTAATTCCCGACGTCAACCTGCGACGTGTCTAGCGCTGACTTCAACACACCTCAAACTCAGTGAATAAATCGCACCAAAGCAAATCGCACCGCACGGCGGCGGCTATCTTGGCCTCGTGCCCGCTGTCTAATCGACCTTCCGCTCCGACTGCGCCGCATTCCTTCGGCGCTGGTGTGCACAGGTTTTCACACATCCACGCGGGCGGCGCATTCGCGCGACCGTTCGACTGGGCCCCTCCTACGCACGCCGCGCGCATTGTTGCCGACTTCTGAGGCTCACACCGACACCCTCTTAGCGGTGTGCGTGGTGGTGGGTCCATCAGACACAGCACGGTGTGATGAGCAGTCAAGGGGTGCCGTGACCCCCGCCGGCTGAGGTGGGACGGTGGGCGCCTCAAAGAGATTTTAATTTACATCTACTGGCACAGCCCAGTTTAAGTAGAGGCAGGGTTTGGAAACGGGTCCAGAGGGCAAATGTGGGTGATAATTGAAACTGTATAATGGTATTGGTCAGCTAAGGATTGGAATGTTACAATTAAATAAATCATGTTTTCCTATTGATGAAATTATCTATTCAATCAGGAGATATAACATCAGGCGAATCGAATACTTATTCAGGAATATTTCCTAACCAGGAGCATATGTTCCACAACAACCCATATTCCACTTCTTCAAAAGACTTCACAAGTCCACAACTGACACCACTAACAGGGCTGAAGCACCAAAGTAGCGGCTGTTTGACCTCCGATCATCTGCTCAGAGTTCAGCAGCACTTCGTTCACACGGAGACGAAACCAGATACGGCGCGGAAATCCGTCTCCCGACGACACGTGACGACATTGTGACGAAACTGTGACGGATCTATGACCGTTCGTGACGTCACGACGCTGGCAGGTAACCACGGTCGGCACACAGCACGGTCACCTGCCGTCTATTCGAGATGGCGCCAGTGCTGACCCTCGCCGTTTTAACGCTGCAACGCTCCTCAGGTTGGCAGGGCAGTATTGGTCTCCTACATAAAACCTCCCAGCGAATACATCCCGGTTTACAAAGTCGCCTCACGTCATCCAAGAGTGTGAGCTACTTCACAACAGCCTATTGTAAAAGTTTTATGACCAGCTACCGGATTTTTTACTGCACTATGCCCGCCTACAAAACTTGTCGCTCCTTTGCTAAGACCCACGGTGTAACGTGAAAGCACCCACTTCTTTGGTTCCCCTAGATCATAACCTGTGAGGTATTGCTAAGCTTGCAGCCGTCCAGAGGGTCTGCACATCAGTCAGGCTCGAAAGAAGCTGAAATGTCTTTGAACGATGCTTGCACTGGGTTGGTGCCAAATGCCAAACATTACTACATTTTTTATGGAAAGCATGTGAGGTGTTTATTGATTATGGCTCGATCCGACTGCCGATAAATTTCAAAACAGCTCAGGTCATTTCGGTACGGTATTTCATCTCAAACTGCATTCCATGTGTGCTGCGCAAGCGACATGAAGGGGAAGGTCGGTAAACATGATTCGTCCTTTCAGCCTGTCTGTCCTGGTCTGTCCCGTCCTGTCCTGTACTGTCCGGTCCTGTCCGGTCTGTCCCGTCTTATTTGTACCAACTGCATCACCCTATTCCGTTCTGTCATGTCTGTCCGTCTTAGTCTGTCCCGTCTGTCTCGTTTGTCCTGTCAGCCCCGTCGTCTGTTTGTACTGCGTGTCCTATCTCTCCTGTGCTGTCCTGTCTGTCCCGTCTGTCCTGTCTATCATATCTGCCCCCTTCCCTCCTCCACTCACCTGGGGAGAGCGCGAGCTCGATGTGCTCGCTCTGCGGCCGGCTCCTGCCGCGACCACTCTCTTCCACCTTCTCCTGACCAGAGGAGCTGGCTGAGTGGCTGCTGTAGCCGGTAGGACCGATCTGAAACGCAGAGAAATGACACTGTCAGGGAGGTGTGTACTGTGCGGCAGGCGGAGAGGACACTGATCAACAGGAATGCCAGATATAATATATCACTGGGAACGAAACTCGTTGTGAGAAGGAGGAACAAATAATTGCGTGGTTTGTGCGTCCTCTAATCTGCCACGAAAGTGATAACAAATCGGATCAGAAACCACCGGACGAGTTGAGCGCTGATTTCATGTGAAAATATTGGCTGACATCGCGGCGGATGGATCAGCTGATCGGCCAGAGTTTGGCTGATTCCTGGTCAGATAGGCGACACCAATCGCACCAATCCCTCTGACTAACGGAATGACAGCTCACTAACCGTCTGACCAACGAGCTAAGGATTACCAGCCTACTGACCAGCGGAACGTCGGCATGGTATATTTCACTTAGATCTCTAATCAAAGAGAAGTCAGCTCACCAACCTATTTATTTGAAAAAATGTAAAACACCAAATTCATATCACTGACCTACTAACCAACAGCTTTCTCAGAGTTCTGAGTTCTGACCAACTGTCAGAAATAACCAGGTACTCGTCCCCAGTACCGGCAGAGGGGGCGACCTGTGTCGGCCCAGTCAGCGCTCCTACAACGTTCGATCGATGTTTGGCTACGTGGCATATCGCAGGATCCACTATCAGTGTTCTGGCGTAACGCTGACAGGCAGCGAAACGGCCCCGTCAGATTTCCAGGATAGTTCCCCTAATGTCAAACATTGCAAAGCATCCATTTCCAACGCAGAGTAGCTGGGATTGTGATATGCTTGTAGGTAAACACTAAAGAGGCAAGTGATATTTACAGGTTTTCCTTCATTCATTTCCTTGTCCAAATAGGGTAAACTGTTGCGCTGCAACATTCAACTGGCATGCCATGTCCGGTGAGAGCCGCAATCATTGTGCACGCATCTGTGAACATTAAGGAATGCCATAAGCTGTGCTTTATTATCAAGACGGCTTATCAAGTATCGAGATTCATGACATCACCTGAGCAAATACGGCCCACCCGTGACAGTCTTTATCAGCGCTGCTCCAGCCATACTGTCGGCGGGATGTATGTCTGCGGGGGTCCCCCTTTTCCATTGCCGCATCTGTCGGTAACGTCGTCGAATTGTGTCCCTCTGTGGTCGTCGATTTGTCCAACACCGTTTACTGATGAAGACTGAGATAAGAGGTCATTATGACTGCATCTAAAGGATAGATGTCAGCACAGTTGACCAAAACACAAATACCAGTGCAAGCAACTGTATTCCACTGTAATGTTTATCGCAATGTTGATTTCATAATTGACCTTTTATGAATAGAACCTAGATAAGTACGAACAATACATAATACACATAATTCATCATGACTTGCGATCAGATGGTAACAAGATATACGTTAACAAAAAAGCTGAGTACTCGGTCTAATGTCCAAACAGACGTCACACAATGCTGCGGAATGCGGCACACGCTGGGCGGGAACGTCTGCTAGCGGGGTTGTCACTATCAAATACCAATCGCGGAGGACAACACTCGACAACTGTTTTATGAAGCCGTCTGTTTAACAGATAGCCAAGTAGGATGGGAACTATGATTGTCGAGCATGTGTCCTACAACAGGCTCCGCAGTGCCTACTTATCATCTGGTTTACATAATGGTTTAGTCGCTATCCGTGTAATATTTTTTAGGGATAAAGAATATCACGCATGTTAGAATGTAGCAACGTGCAAACAAAGTTATTACATCCATTATTTTATGCAAATAATATGTTGCATTAAAGTATTGTTACAACATTGACTACTATGGAAATTTTAAGCAAAAAATAAATACTCATGCGTCTCTCTATGACAAAAAAATAAACAAAAGATGGCAGGCAGCAATGCATGAATACTTCTGTGGCCCTCTCCATATAAAACCCGACTCTGCTTCTTACGCAGCGATCGCCAGAGGACGACTCCGTTCACGACGCATTAACCTTTGAGGAAGTTAGCGCTATTAAATCATATCTGCCAGCCGATTCAATTACAGTTCGTGGCAGAACGAATTCAGTTAGCTCGCCTGGTCTCAAACGAAATAAAAAAGAATGAAGGCGCAATAAATGCCCTCTATCCTGATGTATAAGACACAATTCCTAGAAAGTTAAGCAGCTCGAGTACACACGTTTGCAGAAGGAGATTAATGACTACGAAAAGCTAGGAAAAGCACACCAGATAGCATCTACTGGGCAATACTCAAATAACTGAAGTCCATACACATATCGAGATGTGATGACAAAATCACTGCTTTTGGTTTTGTTGGCAGATGTTTCACACATCTTCCAACATTCTTATCCACCTAAATGTGAAATAAATGCCACCAACCTCCTCGGAAGCATGAAATACCAGTTTATTGTTTCAGCCACTGCCCTGGAGCGCACGTCAGAATTGACCCCGACAAAAGCCCGTGACCAAGTCGTTATAGGAGCTATGCTTGTTTCAAACAGCGTCCGAACTTGGAGCGAAACTTTAAGCTACAAAAAAACTCCGTCGAATGCGTGGAACGAAAATGCTCGCACGCACTACCAAACCTACAACTATTCGTTGATTTTTGAGACCATGGTTAGGGTTTGACCCGGGGCGATGTTGCTCAGTAAGCACAAGAGACAACAAGGAAGTATCCACAGCGCCTGTCCCTAGAAAACCGCTGACATCGCCTTTCAGCTAATGTTCTGAGCGCTGACAATGGGGATGAGCAGCGAATGACTTCTAAGAACGCACTCCTTCGACGAAGAGCCCTTCATGAGGCTACTTGTATTTGTATTCCTTGTAAAGTCCCAAGGAATACAAAGGAAGCATTGAAGCATTGATCGTTGAGATAGACTGTACCCATCCCTATGCGGCTGGTATATCCCCGGTGCCAGCTACTTTGCCCCACCAGACTGATTATTGTGATCAACTATGAACTACACACAAATAAGAAAACGATTGAAACAATGTATGCAGCTCGATAATGCAGTGATGTCCTCAGGTAGCATAGAGTTAACTGAAAATAGTTTACATGATATTCATGCATACGGACATAAAGCAGATATATTAAATAACAACTTAAAGACTGCAGCATCGTTAACTTAGAAGCAAGTGCATGTGTTTGGTATTGGTAATTATACGGATGTTCGAAAAATTAAAACGATCGGGGGCATCAACTTTCAAACGGCAGGTCCCACTGCGCAGATTCGAGAAACGGCGGGTCCCTTTTTCAAAGAAAAAGTCTCAGGCTTAAACTCAGGATCGGGGATATAGTGTCCTCTGTGCAGGTTATAATGATGGCATCCGCAAACTCACAAAGCATACTCACAAGGCTGGCCAGTTTGTCGCTCCATTTGCCTATCTGGTGGGCCGATTGGGATCTGGCCACGGGCTTCCGCACGCGATGACCCGTTCGTCTTCCGGAGTCGACTGTTTCTTGGGGTGTTTCGCCAGGACTCTCCTCTTTCGAGTCTTCAGACTCTGCCTCGGCCACACTCCCCCGCTCCGCTGCCGCTGCTGCCGCCGCTGCCTCCTCCTCGCCCTCCAGTGCAGTGCTCTCCAGGAGGTCGGCCAGTCTCGGGTCCCAGCTGCGGCGCATCGAATTGGTCCTCCTCACCGCCCGGATCCGCAGACTGTTGGCCCTGCGTCTGACGGGGCCCGCCTCCCCTTTGGAACCTTCGGCCGCCTGACACTGCCGCTGGTACGCCTCACGCAGCAGGGAGAGAGGGTCCGTGGCCAGCGACCAAAGAGGAGGGGGGGCCACGACCCTGGGAGAGTCGCAGTCCGCCGCTGGGGCGGTCGCGAAAGGAGAAGCTGTCGGACTCGAAGAGGCTGCCGCCGAGCCGAGAGAGGCCGCGTCCGGTGAGCTCGGAGAGTCCAGCGCCACGGGTCCGTCCTCCGGCTCCGTGACCAGCGAGGTCAGCGACTTGTGCACCTCCTTGATCCGCTTGGTGATGCTTGACTTGACGTAAAGTGATTTGCGCTGCATGGCGCGTCGTTTGAAGGAGTTGCTCTCCTCCGTGTCGCCATTCTGGGTGAGGTCGATGCAGCTCTTTGCCCGGCCGCGGCTCGACAGAAGCTGCACAACCGACCCGCGCTTCTCGTCAGCATTTTTCGCCTTGCTCTCATCCGACTTTTTCTGTTCCTCCAGTTTCTTCTGTTCACCTAGTTTCTTTTGCTCCTGAACCTTTTTGGCCGCTTTCGCCGCCTTGGCTGCCTTAGATGCAGACTCGGTTCTTCCGGCTGCCTTTTTGTTCTTAGTATCCTTCTTTTTCAGATACTTGGAGCCATTCTGTGTCAACTCCGGGCTCGTCAGTCCGTAAGCCTGTTTCATCAGAGTGTGGTACTCTGCTGGCACGTCCATCGTGCCGCACAAATCGGCTGTTCACAAAGGATAACAATGGCTTCTAGCACCTCCCAGCCAATCTCCAACAAATCAACAGCTAGGACAACCCACAGTCACCGAGTGCTGTCGAATTCGCGTTTGATCACCACAACCCGACATAAGCATCACCACCCTCGCAGCTTCTGCGTTCAACCGCCACTGCCACTGTCCCCTCGTCCCTTCTCTCGCACCACCCGGTCGTTCTCAAGACACAGCGGCGGTCGTTCTCAGGGCACGGCGCCCGTGGCGTTCGCGGCGCGCCCGGGGCGATACTGGCGCGGCGGCCGTGGCCGCGGAGACGTGCCCCTGGCCGCGGTTCGGTACACGAGCTCGCCGATAGCCGAGCCGGCGTCGGACTTTGTGCTGTGCTCATGGCCCATTGTTATCGACGACGGCGCCGCGCCATCGCCGGGTCAGCAGGATTCCACCTGCCCGTCCCCTCCCCGTCTACCACACCGAGACGGGGGCTGGGGCGCAGGTCAGGTCAGTTACCAAACAGCTGGGGTTTCCTCGTAAGCGGAAACTGGCAGCATGATGGGTAGATGTGGGGACACGACGGTAATTTCGACGTTGAGAGCAAACAAGTCAGTCATATAAATCCGATAGCGATGGTAGCTGAGGGCACCTGCTCACCGTGAATCATGTCGCGAAGGCTGAGCTTTCCGGATCCTAACGATGAGTGATCGGCGAGTGTATCTCCCAGGTCCCACCCACACCAAACGAGTCACCAATCAGCAGCATCTCTCTGTGCAGATAGTACGACAATCCGGACACCACCAACACCCACGGCCACTCCATAAATCCTCTCACTGTGCAGAGATTTATTGCGACGCAACCTTAGCCCGCGGCCGGGGTCGTCGCGTGCAGGGGACCGCAGCTGTCGGCGGCGACGAGTCCCCCAATGCGTCTGTGTTTGGATCGTCTGGTCTGCCAGTTGGCTCGTCGCGCACCAATTACCCCCGAGTGCGTGCCAATTTCCAGCACGCGTCTTACTGGGTGCTGCGGCGGCGTCTCAGCGGCCCCAGACAGCGAAACGAGGCGGCCGACGGCCAGGACAGGCGGCGAGACAGACAGGACGACAGACGAGACGAGACGAGACAGACGAGAGACGGCTGGATGAGGCGGCGAGTAACGAGACGGATCAGACGAGGCGAGACAGACGACCAGACGAGCCAGACAGAAGACGTGACGTAGCGGACGGATTAGTCATATCTTCCAGCATAAGAAAAATGAGCGCTCACGGCACTGTCCGTCCTCACCACTGCTGATTAGCCTTCGAATGCGTGTGAGGACGTCACCAGAAGCAAAGGACGTCACCAGAAACTGTTTTCATATACCAAAGTAAGTAGTGGTTGCTTACATACAAACTGTATTGACAGCCGTTGCAAACTATTAGAAAACGAAAATAATGATGGCGGTATTCAACACTCAGCAGAAACTTGATATGACCACAGTCGCTACCAAGCAATAACGCCCCACAACTTGCCTCATTTCCGACACATTGCCAGTGGGGGTTCATGGTCTCGGCGAAATCGCTGCCACTAGTACAGCTGAGCCGTCTTTGTTGCCGATAAGATACGACTGCCACATGCCTGCACGGGACCATATCACACGTCTCGGTGTCGCTGGAGTGCTGCCGATTGTCCGGTGAGAGGGTCGTGTTCCGACCGCGCGAGCACACTGCACAGTGCACACGCCCACGGCCAGAGTTGCAAATCGCGCGCTGAGAGCTGTATATCAGCCCCCGGCCAGCCGACACCGTTTGCTGAGGTGGACTGACACGGGGGGGGGGGGGGCGGCAGCCGGTTCACACTATCCTCGACAGTGCAATACTGCGACTATTGCCGGTGCAAGGCGACACACGCTGGGTTCCCATGGGTGGCCAATGCCAGTCGTGTGAACGCCGCCCGTGTGGGCCAAACCGCAAAGGCGCCACGTGAAAAGGCCGAGTTTCGTTCGTGTGGCCGACGATTGGAAACGCCTGAGAAAATCTGCAACCGTGACTCGTCTTCCAGTTGTGACGCTGGGCACCGGAATCCATATGGAGAATGATACGATCACGCCCGGACTATGGAAAGTAACCAAATATAGGCACTTGGAGATGAGCAGATATATAGGTAGAAAATCCACGGTCCACGGAGGCTACCACCCGTTAATCATATTTAATTAAAAGGGAATAGTGGAGGACCAAGTGTCACTACAGGTATATACGAGTAAGTCAGCTACTGTTAAATTCTCTTTACCACGATGAATCAGGCTTGATTTTCAACAGAAAAACACAAAACTAACTTATGTTTGAGCCTGAACACACAGCTTCTGATACCCAATAAATATACTTAGCTACACTACACACTGCTAGAAACGTAAATTACTCAAAACAAACTTTTCATCAATCAAACCGTGCATTGTTTGTACCCAAAGGCATATGTTATCCAATATGATGTCAGTTTCCTCTAATTTATTGAACACGATCAATGCAGCACACATTGTGCAATGTGCATGTATAAGCCAGCATTCACAACATACATGACTAATGAAATCGATTTGTCTCGCACCTTGATAGCCAGCGGACCCGCTGTCATTACCTGCACATACCACCAGAAGATCGGGCCTAGCATCGGTAACACATCGCCCTGACAACAAATAACGCCCACAAAACCACTACAGCAAGGGCGGCGCCTCGCGGTATCGCACCAGACGCCAATCACCTGCCAAAGCTGGCACTTGGATATGACAAACTCGAACTCCAACGGCCTCACAGTGCGGCGGGGTAGACAGCGAAGAAGCACCCCCCGGCCAGGAGCAGCACCTTGGCGAGGGCTCGGGCACAGGCACAATACCTGTGTGACGCTATCTAATCCCGATCGGACAGTCGCCGCCGCAAAAATGACGCCAAGATCAACTCTTTGCCGATGGAAAAACGTGACACATGACCAATGAAAGACACACGCAAAACTCGCGCCCACAAAATACGGACAGGTGATGGGAAACAATGGGCGTTTGATGCACACGGTTGGCAGCTCGGGTGGCATAACACACTATCTTATGCATTGAGCTCTCACCCGGCCGCCCACCCCGTCCCTCCGGGAGACGGTGCCACCTGGTTTGTGCAGCGACGAGGCGGCGCGTCGGAGCACAGCGACAAGCCCATTCGTCAGCGCGTGACGGTTGAGAGGGCCGTCAGACGGTCCGTCCGTCTGCTACGACCCGGCGCGACGTCCCTCTCCCGGCGTCCCTGCCCTAAGAGACGCTAGGGAACTATTGTGTGCAAACGTTGAAGTTTTCGTAGCTTTAGCTGTCAGATTACATTAAAACGATAATAAAATGAACACCGATAGTTACTGTTCACGTTGATGCTTGTGTTTGGTTCAATCAGCTCCCCAAATGGAAAATGACACCGTTCTTTGTGCGTTACCTCACAAAAGATCCCAACAAGGAGTCCCCGGCTGCCGTGTCATTACTGTGTCTTCCGTGTCTTTGTTTTTGCGTCCGAGTTCGTAAACAGAGCCTGTCGGACCCATAATCGGTCGATGATTTATGCAAAAGGCCGATCTAGTGACATTGACGCTCGTGACATTTTGACCCGCACCACAGAGACGCCATGCCGGCGCATCCCGGGCGGCCATTAGGGCTCCGGAGCACAGACGAAACAATGGAGGGGCAGACGGCAGCGCACCCATCTCCTCCTCTGACGAGCGGCGACCCCGTCATATGGGGCACCCTGCCGCTGCTGTGCGCCGCCTGTCAATCACGATACTGAGACACCGACAACTTTGTGAAAGCACATGTCTGCTTTGAACACCGCGTGTCCGGCCAGCCTCGTTCCATTCGCGTCATCCGACATGACTGGTTGTCGGTCCACGAGGGACAAAGTGGTCCCGACGAACAAACACTGGAGCTATTAGGGCTTCCATTTGCTTATCGTTAGAAACAAAACGCTAACGATAACATGACAAGTGAATGGCTTCGAACGAGGCCCTCCCTAATGGTTTTCTTATTGAACGCAGTCCAAACAAGACGGCAGAAACTAGTTAGCAAACAAACCCATCAGCATCTATTCACTACGCTTACCACTTCACACCACGGATAGCAACAAAGTCTAGCTATTCAGTCGAAAACCAATACGGCCGCAAATCCACTATTCCGATTTCCGACCACCAAATAGCTCAGAAACTTAGCTCCAGTTTGGCGCCGTATTGAGAGTTACGCGGCCACCCGTGCAGCCCGTAAGCCTCACATTATGAACAGTGGCTGCCGGCCTGTAGATGAGGCCCGATAGCGGGCTCCACGAAGGTCACGGCAGCCCACCGGGCCAGCCGTGTTCCCCATTGTCCATGCGCGCCGCCACCACCGAGCCCAGGCAATTATGGGTCATTTGACTAAGGGCTTTCGTCAGCGGAGCGGTCCAGCGCACGGCAGCGGTAGTCGGTCGGGGTGACCTGGTCAGGTCAGGTCAGGTCAGAGGTTAGATGTCAGGACCGGGTGAGACGGGACCTAGAAAGCATGGAGTGGAAGCAGCGGCTGTATGTTTGAGGCTTTACCATTGTACTGAATCATAAAACCATACTGACTATTGGCACTGGACGTAATTAGAATTCATGCAACTACGGCACTTGAAGTAAGACCGCAGTGCTAGAACTGGAGCAGGCCTTCTGATACAACAATTGCCTGTTTGCTTCCATATCTACCGCAGCACAAAAACCAAAGCACGTACTGCCAACAGCCTCCCCGTTTGCAATAACTTTCCCGGCTGTTTCCCCACGGCCATAACATTTCACCTTGCGGCCACCGCGCTGAGAAACAAACCTCGCCTCGAGTTTTACCGCCGCATCGGCCCTCGAGTTTTCGTTTTTCCACCTGGCAATTGGTTCGTTTAGGACATTGGCGACGCCTCTCGTGACCTGGCGGCTATCTGAGCCATTAGCTGCGCGTAACTGTGCAGAGCGCGGGTCACCGCGGGGGCCGGGCAAAAAGTGCGCCGCTCTCGCGCTGCATACAAACAGGGGAGCGCGGCGCTGAGGGACGCAGGGTGCCGCCGCCGCTGACAGGCCATTTCTCCATTAATCGCCGCGCAAACCGAGCGGCCAGTCGCCGGACAGACCGAAAAGATCGAGGCATTGTTGCCGGGAGCTCCCAGAGAGAAGAAGAGCAGCCTCTTGGCAGACGCTGAGATTGATGTGGACCGCAAGGTGAAATAACCTTCTCGGCCGTGTGGCCGCGACTGGAGAAGAGATTAAACCAGGTGCCACGGCTC